GACTCAGCTCCTAATTGGAGTTTTACAGTGTGTGTGTGCGTGTGCGTGTGCGTGTGTGTGTGCGTGTGCGTATATACACCCCAGCTCTTCACTCTTCACCAGATCATTCGTTCACCTTCGTGGTAACAACACTGTGGACAGACTTGTAGTCTCTCTGAGTGAGTTCATTCCTGTCTACCTGTGGCTCCAGTTCATCACTGCCAGCATCCATGCTGCTTACCTTTACAATAATCACATATTCATTATAATATGTATTTATTATCATTATCATTTTTATTATTATTATTATCATTATTTAAATTATACCCCTTCGGAAAACACAAAGGACAAAGTAGAAGCAGAATCCATGAGATATTTGGGGGTAAATAAACCAAAAGACTTGACAAAGTTGCACTCCTTCAATTTCCTCCCCCCGAACCAAAAGATCAGGGAAGACATAAGGACTTGGGACCCGATACCTCTTCTTAATTTTGGGTCTCGAGAGTGGAGGGTGTGGGTTGTCTGAGGCAAATCATTACAGTACATGGGCTCCCTACCACTAGAAAATACTACTTTTATGGATTCTAAGTGCTGCAGGAGGAAAGCCATCACTAGAAAGTGGTAAAAACCAGAGACGTCTACTGTGAATGATTGAGTTGACATATATTTATGAAATCTTTAGGATGGAAGGAACTGATTTATATATTAGGTTGCAACAGGACAAATTTATGAAAATACGGGAAAGATGGATAAGGTACATAACACCTGTATGCCTTTCATTTGTATAAGGTCTTTATTTTTCCCAAATGTCCTCTCTCTCTCTTGTACATCCTATTTTATAAAGGGTTTTGAGTATCAGGCAGGTACACCTCAACTTATTTTTTGTTTGTTTTTGTTTTAGTTATTTGGATTGATTCAATTTTCTGTTTGATATTTTATGTATGAGGTATTTACTTATTTATGATTTTGTATTTTATTTTTTTTTTTTTCCTTTCTTGTTGGATGCTTATCATATAATTTACTTCATTGATCCTAAATTGTTTCTGTGTTATCTATTTTGACAGATTTGTTATTTATATATATATTTATATAAGCTGCCCCTGTGAAAGTTATAATGTAAGAATCTGTGCCTCCATGAGACTGTCTCTGGTGGACCTGTTTAGTTTCACCTCGTGGAAATCTGAGAGGCATAACATTATGATTCCATCATCTGTGACTAAGCACTCCACTTCACCCTCTCAGCTCCCTACCCTTCTTGTGTGGCAGCTGTGCCAGAGTTTATTTTTAGTTCCTGTGCTGTGGTGAACAATTTCAGATCTACATGCACCAGCTTGAAATGCTGCTCAGATTTAATCACGTATCAAGGTTGTCCTCCCTCTCTCCCATTCACTTTTTCCTCCCACTCACCAGTGAAGTGAGTCATCACTTGGCAGGTTTATGATGACATTAAACAGGGGATCACCTTTGTGCATGAAGAATTCCCGGGTGCACGGGAGTGACAGGATTCACAAGGAAATCTGAGCTGTGACAAATAAAAAACAAACCGAAGTTGCAGTAGGTTCCAGGATGACCTCAGTCTGTGCCTTGTTCACATGAATGCCTGAGCGTGAATTCATAGATACAGCATGTACTTGTTTCCTACAAAACACATTCAGATAAGCTTTGTATCCTTATCCAGACATTCTTTCTATTTGATTGGTTTCAAATAATTGCTTTTATAAAAGCTGCTAGATCAGGCCAATAAAAACACATTAACAACGTGACACGTGATTTCCAAACGTCAATCATGTACTGAGATGTATGTAAGAAAACTTTTCACCTTAAAAGTGTCCTGTAGCTGCCGGTAGCCTCTGAGCTGCTCAGTGAATCACATGGTTAATTAGTAAAGACAGAGAACATCCTTTCATTCATCATTCACTCTTGTGACAGTGTCTTTATCTGTGATTCATTTACACAGAAACATGACAGAGTCAGTCTGTTACACTTGGAAAGGCTGATATTTGTGTGGAATTGTTTTTATGAATTCTATCTGTGACCTGAGTTTTGGTTGCCTGGGTTTCTGCTCTGTCTGTTTGTTTTGATTTCATGACATTGTTGTTCTCAAGTCTATTTTGAAAAACAGATCTTGATCTCAGTGACAATTCCTGATTAAATACGTTTACTGAAACTAGGTGTAACCAATAAACAGAAAACAGCATTAATGGCTACTATTTAGGTGTGTCAGTCAGTGTGTCTGGTATCGTGCATAGAGCCATCTTTCATGTTATGACACCTGGGTTTTTTTTCTGCTGAATGCTGCATTCCCTGTGGTCAGGTATGATGTAATCCAGTGTGTTTTTCAGAGAGCTGAAATGATTGGAATTGAGGCTCAAACCAGGGAAAATGAGAGATGAAAAGGTAATGAAAAAATGACAATTAGCACAAAATAGCTCAGTTCCTCAGAACTGTTTGTCTGAGATTTTTCAAATTAAATTCCATTGATCACCAGACAAACTCCCACACTCTCTGCTAAGAAGCTTACAGTATTTTTGGGCATTTTTCCTGCGGCTGCAGGACGTCTTGGTTTTCATTTCACACTTATTAACAAGTTAGAACAGACACACTGGCTGCATGACTCATGGCTGTATTGCATGATCTACAGATTCAGTATCTCGCCTATTTTTCATGCTCGATGTGTGGCTCCCAGCAAAAATAGACAGAGAAAAGTCCTGTTGATATCATATTCACATCATACCAGCAACATCACGCTAGCACTGTTGCCTCGCAGTGAGAAGGATCTGTGTTCAATTCCCAGGCCTGGGGCCTTTCTGTGGCTTTCTGGGTTTGCATGTTCTCCCTGTACCTGCATGGGTTCTCTCCGGGTACTCCGGCTTCATCCCACAGTCCAAAGACATGTACAATATGTTAATTGGTGAGTCTAAAGAGCCCATAGGTATGAATATATGCGTGACTGGTTGTTTGTCTCTATATGTCAGCCCTTTGATGGATTGGCGACTTGTCCAGGTTGTAACCCACCCTCACCCAATGTCAGCTAAATTAGAAAAACAAAGTAGACAATCTGCCTCCTGTTTACACCTGCACGCACATGTCCAGTGTATGTGAATCGTCATGTGATATGTGTTTTCAGGTGTGATGGACAGAGAACATTTATAAAATGAAAATGTAATGGTGTGGACGTAGCCTCACTGTTGTTCCATATCCTGTGGCAGGTTCTGTAGCTGATGCCATAACACTGTACATGAAGATAACCACCTCTTGTCTCTGATGTGATGAACAGTTAGCGAGGTGTAACTGTATATATGCACTGTAGTGTTCTTCAGAAAAGTGAGCGCATACATATATCATATAACAAAATCAAATTTATTTTTATAGTCCAATATTACATTAAATATCTCAGAGGGCTAATGCCCCACAGCAGCAGCAGCAGATCCCAGTCTGCCCAAACCCTCCAAAGTGACAAGGAAAACTCCCCCAAAAGGCTTCACTCAGGTAGACGAGCAGCAACAAAAACAAAAGACACAAAGGAAGGCAACTGTAAAAATGAACATGAGGTTGTAACTGTTCATTTTAAAAAAAAATTTACAACAGTGGGACTGTAATCCAGCAATAGTAATGATAGGTCAAATACTGATTAAGCAAATCCAGTGTAAAAAAGACCAATAAAAAATAATGAATCCAATACAGTTCATCAAGTAACACAGTTTAACTGACTCATTTATAATAAATAATATTTTTTCTGGTCCAGCACATATGAACGTTGTACATTAAAAACCAAACAGACCAATAGAATCGCAGTGAAATGATTGTGTTTTTCTCATCTTTAAGATGTTCATTTCCATGCTGTTAACAACAAATTAAATTCCATTCACCTGTGTTGTATTAGGGCAGAGAGTAAAAAAACAAAAGCAATAAAAACAAAGCTCATGGAGAGATAAACATGTTTTTGACCAAACAAACTGACAGTTCACTTTGGTGGACCATTAATAGTGTCAGCTGTTTAGTCTAAAAATCACAAACAGAACATATATTACATCCAAAAGCCAGAGTCAGCATCTATAACAGCTTGGTTTAAACAAGCTGACTCAAAGCTTCGAAGGCAATGGAAAAGCTTAGCTGTAATACAGTAGAGGCAAATTTATCTCAGTAACATATTACGCACAAAAACACTAATATAAATACTAATTACTAATAATAGTAATAATAATATAATACTTTATATTCAGACTGGTGATAGATTAAAGGAAAAACCTGAATCAATGATTGAAGCTGTTTCATCACTCATTTACTCATGATTATGAAAATGATGTCATTCAGCCTGTGGCCTTTAAAGATGCTATATAAGTTTTCTCAGCTGCTGAACCAAGAGCAGATGGTAGTCACAAGAGCTTCCTGTTACTCCCTCTGGGCAGTGCTTCTTCTTCAGGGCTGACCGGATGCTACGGTGACCTACTAGCTGTTTTTAAGTTTTCTCTGCTGCTGAACGTGGTTTCTTGTCAGGAGCAGGTGGTGGTGATTGTCCCTTAACGAGAGCTTCAGCCATAATTACATTGAGACAAGACAAGAGGTCATCTTCAGGGCAGGTTGGAGGCTACAGTGAATCACTACTAGTTAACGTTGGTGTTTGATGCTGAACTCAAGTATCTGCCAGACTGGTAAGTAGCTGTCAATGCTAATGTTAGCTATATAGCAATAGCAAAAACTTACATATAGCACCTTTAACTCAGCAAATAAAGCTCCCAACCTCAATTAACATACATAGGAGATTTTGCAGACACCTGAAAATGAGGGAACATATTTGGAAGAATTGTGGTCATCCTGTCAGTTGAATCTAGGTCAAGGAGTATTGAAGCTATTCTGGAGGCACTAGTTGAACAACATCTTACTGAGATAATTATGTGTTTATACTGTATATCATCCAAACCTGAACACACAGTTATTTTAAACCTTAATAGGAAGCACTTTAAAACATACAAAACTTATAAATGAATAATGATAAATAACTTGAAAAAAAAAAAAATTTAATTAAAAAAAAAAAAAAAATACTTTAAACATACATTACTGACACCAAATCAATGAAGATGCACAAAAAAAGCATATTCTCATCAGGGCATATTCTCTATGCAAGATAAGCACCAAATGACGATTTCAAGACCAGCTTATAGCCAAATTCGATCCACACGCTCACATGATCTCCCGCCAACAAATCAAACAGCTGCCCCACAAACACACTCCTGGGCACCTTTGAAGTGCATGTTACCCCGTTCCAGGCATCCATCATGGACACAATCTTGTCGTAACCTTCATTCCAGCGGCGCAGCTGCACTAACAACTTGTTGAAGTCTTCAGCTGTAGTGGCAGTCTCCTCATCGCAGAGCAGGGTAATTGTCACGTAGATAAAGTAGACGCCTGTCTGTGGAATCACAATGGCCTGTTTTTCCTCGTTGTATTCTTTCCCAAACATGCTTTCCCATTTGATGTACTGTCCATCGGTCCTGTTGTCTGTAGCCAAAGAATCTGGGGGACAAGGAGCACACAGCAAATCAAACGTCTCGCTTAAACATCATTAGTCGCATCTTGCAATTTGAAACACTGTTGAAACAGGGAGCTCCTAAATCAAAGCAAAGCAGCTCTGATGAAACACACCGACCATCATGTGAGTCTGTTTCCCATATTTGACTCATCTGCCCTTCATGTGCCTCCCCAACAGTTCCAACTGAGTGTACTTCAGCATTCACAGATGCATGTACATGCAGATTCAACTATACTTGTTGTGAAATTAATTGTCTAGTTGTAAACTAAAATTGTTTCACTGGAGAGTCCTGATGTGACTCATGCTGTCAGACGCTGAATGGATGTGATTAATGGTGTGAAAGAGTGAAGGTGAGTTCATTTTTTTTTTCTTGTTCATTTGGTTTTGAGAATGTAGAGTTCACTTAGTTTCTTCATCTACACATGGAATTGACATCAAATTAACAAGATACTATGTTTGTATTTCACTGTCTATCTGCCAAAGCAAAAGAGTTATGCAAATAGTTTTGAATTCTAAAGAGAGAGAGAAATACTTACGGAGGTGAATGTGTGGCCGCTGGGAGTTATTTTGAGGATTAACTGTTGATTGAGAAAGAGAGCAGGGAAAGGTTCAAAAATAACACCGCTGTGATTGCTCATGGTTCTTCAGGGAAAGCAAAATCATCACGCAACATGAGCAGGAGAATGTTCTCTTGGTATGTGAAATACAACACAAAACTTTAACTTGTAAAGTAATCCATTTGATAAAAGATGAAGTTAATGAGACAGCGTACCTGCAGGACACAGTCTCTCCTGCTGGGAGTAGGCTAGATGTTGCTCTTCTGTGATCTAGAGAATAAAGGAGAACACATTTTATTCTAGTGTCATCATGATAATAACATTTCATCCAAACTGAACATGTGACTTTGTCTTTACGCTGATACCAGCAGGCAAGGGAATGTAAAACGGGCTGAAATTAAAAGTTTAAAAGTTTCACGGCTTCACCATCAGCATGTAAATACGTTTGGTCAGCTATCATTCATAGCGAGTTATATTGGGACAGAGTGATTTAAAGCAGCACTGAAAAAAATGTGGACAAAACCACCTGTGTAAATATATATATTTATATATTATGGCACAACGGATTGAAATTCATACATTTCTATGTGTTGCAGCTCATCTCTAATCACTGAGCTGCAGGAGACTGTGCTCAGTACCAGCTGTAAATCAACACAAAAAGTTGAGTTTTAAACTCCACAACACACATCATGTTAGCTTCAGGCGTTCAGTGAACTGACAGCCCGGTAGGAGTGAAGTATTCTGACTTTGTTAAGCTTCACAGGCTCACATCATCACATTTAGACACTAAGAGGCAAGGAAAAGTTAACACATAAAGAAAAATGATTTGGAACTTACCCTCTGTTTGATAGATCCAGAGTTTCCACACTGCTTTAAATCAGCGGCCTTGATAAAAACGAACAGTGTTGTACAGCTGAGCAGCAGGAGCAGAGTGATGAGTCTAAGGCACGACTCCTGTTGCTTCATGTCCCGACAGTGTTTGATGAGAATAAGAATGGACTCGTCCCGGCCCATAGCAACCATCGCATCCCCGCAGGCAGCTTCAGATGGCAGACTGGGTCCCATCAGTTTCTGTCCCATGGCCACAGGGCTGATCTCTCCTTGAGTGGCTGTGAAGTGGCTGGTCCTGAAAAAGCTGTTTACTGCTCATACATGCAGAGTCTTATATTAGCAGGGGAACAGCGGCTGTAGTCAACCGCCTACACCAAAAATCCTCATTCTGGGATTACCTCATCCATGCATGCAAATTGGGAGGGAGAATAGAGAGGGGAGGAGGAGCACAGACCACAGACTCAGTTTATGTAAGACATGAATCGGTTTCACCTCTCATCTATTATCATTACATTCCAGTCAGAGAGATAAGTATCAGTTTCTCTTCAAGACAAATCCCCGGTGACCTTTTTCTCCAGACTTTTTTTGCACAAAAATATTGTGTCTGCTGCACAGTATCGTTGATCAATCATTGAGTTTGTCCCAAGTTGATCAAAGTCTAAACAAAGAACCAGATGTGAATCGCTCTCTTGATATCTTTTGCTCTTTTTCCACACTACAGGAGAAATATATTATTTTATTTTGTAGGAGAATATAAAATAACATTTATATACACAAATGCACCGGAAATAAAACCTTTGAATTTTGTTGATATACAAATGAAACCGGGACAATCATGTGACTTCAAAGCACCGCGTTTGTTTGGCTGATAAATGTTTCCGTTCTGTGCAGCAGACAGTTTCCAGAGTAGTGTTGAAGCAATATTCCTTTTTTCCACTTGAGGGCAACATGCTGTAGACACAACAAAATTATAATAAATGACATATATGTCCCTGTATCAAGAGTGATGTTGCCATATACGTCTCCTATAGGGGATATATTATTATCACATATTTTCATAGATATAAGTTTATAACATATGAAACACCCTTAGTAAAACTTGTATTTGTAGATATATTAAAAATATCTATGATACATTTTTATATGGTATAACATGTTGTGAACAATATATGTAAGTAAGTAATAAGTAAGTAAGTAATGTCTCTTCCCATCCTGGTAAAGTGGGCTCAAACTTTTGGACCCTACTGTATGTAATAACATATATTGACAGAATTTGGGATGGATATATATTTATGTAACATATGTCAATAAGCATACATTCATAAATATATATATCTGTATGGGGGTTAGACATATGTCAATAAATTAAATAGTTCCAATTTCTAATAAGTTTCACATGTAATTTTTTCATATACTGTATGTTTTTATTTTATATGTAAACATATTTCATATATGGACATTCAGTATAGGTACATATATTACATTTGCGTATGGGTCATTATCACATTATGAAGCTATTCGTGCAATGGTGAGGAAACAGTTGCCTATGTACACACGCAAGCAGATACAGAGAAACATTTTTGTGTATTTGGAGTTGATTTTCTGACCAATCAGTCCAATATTATTCTCATGTAATGAATTCACTTGAGAAAAAAATCATCTGCTCTGTTTTTTTAAATTAACTCCACCAAACCTTGAGAAAAATACCAGTGGGTTTTTGGAGCCTTTTCACTGAAAACATTTGCCTGCAGCTGGAAACAAAGTGGATGAGAGTGGTGACAATGAACCAAAACAGTAAAGCTGCAAGATATTAAACCAAAGCACTGAGCTAAGGAAAACTGCAGAGTCAGTACAACAATAATTATATTATTGTATTTTATGTTTCAGGTGTTGTTTTTTATGAGATAATTATATTTGTGTTTGTTTTGGTTTGTTTGTTTTGTATAAGCGATGCTGCCACTAATCAGCAATTAAACAAAAAACATCTCTGAGGGAAATACAGACGGGAAAAAGATAGCACAGTGTAAAAGTACATAAATATTATCAGCAACATGTATAATAGTAAAAATGTTCAGTGTGCTGACCATGAGTATAATTGTGTCAAACAATAGAAAATATCTAAGCCCATTTTAAAATGACCCACCAGTCATTATTGAACGGTGAAACATGTACCATTCATCTCCAGCTGGGTCACTGGAGTTTAGTCTTCTGTGGTTGTGGTGGATGTCAGACTGAAAAACCAAAAGACCATATTCCTGTAATAAGTGTTTACCAGTCTGAGGAGGTCATCCTTTTCACAGACAGGCAGACTTGTAGCCACTTTCAACAAACTGATCTGCTCAGCACGTAGCTGTGTCTGGAGATGGTCGGTGTAATATGGAAATAATTAGCACCATGAGATTTCTGCTGTTCCACACCAGAGAAATAAACCAAATGCTCTCTCTCGCTCAGGTCTAAATTTTGATTAAATCCAGTGAGTTATCTAAACAAGCCTGAAGTCCAAGTACCACAGAATGAGAAAGAGAAACCTCTGCTGCACTGGATACTTTTCATTACATTTTTATTTCTTTTTTCTTAAAGTTATATATTTTTGAGCCACCGGGGTACCCCATTTTTATTATTTTTGACCACTTGGTGTCAGACCAGCTCCACAACAAGCACACAGATACAGAACTGTGACATTTTAATGATGTGATAGCTAATGTGCTAGCAAACAGCATTAGCATCCATTTGCAATTGTGTTTCTGTCCACATGATGAATGTAGGTCCAGTATTCACCCTTCTGTGAACAAGAGGTTATAAAATGTTCTCTCAGCTGCTACGTCCTCAGAGCAGATTGGAGGCTACAGTGAGTTGCTATCAGTAAGTGACGAGACGTGATAGAGACAAGAGTTAACATTGGTGAGTAAACAAACAAAGTTTGATGCTGAACTCACAACGTTTCTTCTAGACTGGTTAGTAAACAGCTGTTATGCTAATGCTAATGCTAGCTATGTCGCAATAGCAAAATTTACAAATAGGTGCTTTAAAGGAGCCATTTGTAAGTATTCTCTGCCACCGAACATGGAGCCAGGAGCAGGTGGTGGTGATAGCTTCAGCCATCATTGTCTTTATAATACAAGAGGTTACAATACGACCTCTGAGCAGCTACATCTTCCAGAGAGTCACTGTCAGAAAGTGACGAGACAGGCCGGGGCTAGCTGGTTAGCATGCTGTCTTCAATAGAAGAAAAGATGTGATAGAGACAAGAGTTAACATTGGTGTTTGTTTCCACCTCTGGAGACAGATGTTGGTGAGTAAAGAAATGAAGATTGATGCTGAACGCACAACGTCTCTTCTGGACTGGTAAGTAAACAGCTGTTAATGCTAATGCTAGCTGTGTAGCAAAACTTACATATCACTCCTTTAACTCTACATCTGTCTGTGGTTGTGTAGCATTGCCGTCATGCAGACAGGGCAGAAATTCAAATAAACTGAAAACACATAGTGTAAGTTTGTTTGTAACAAAGACTTAACATTTTTCTATCTGTATGACAAGCTTGTATCCTTTAACCATACCATAATATGGAGTCATTTACTGCATTTCATTAATTCAGAAATAATTACTTGCACCATTCATGAAGTATATCCTCCTCATGAGCTTACATGTATTTTCATATAGATTTCATGAGTTTTGTATAGTCATTCTAAGACATACAGTACACCTCTCTAGTTTCAATTGAAAAACTCAGATAATGATGAAATGAAAATGCCTCCTCCCTTTTTGGGAACTGCTCAACACTCAATAGGTCTGAAACATTCACTTCTGGCTTATCAGTGTATGTAGTGTCTGTGTGAGGAGGTGAGACACCAGAGGAAACAGACACCAGACAACAAGCTGAGCTCTTACACATCCTTTATCAATTTGGCAAAGGTTACAGCTGTTGTATCTCTCCCACTGTTGTAGACATAAGGCATGAGTACATATTGTGTAAAAGTGGAACAGCCAGCAAAGAGGTCTATAAAGCAGTTTATCGACGATGCCTGAGCTGGTGGCAACATCAGAAGTAAAACACAGCCCCAGAATATTATCACAGTTCCATCTTCTGTCTTCAGACATTTTTGCTCTTTTTCTTCATACTTAAAACCTGATGGTGAATTAATAGTCATAGAGAGGGGAGAGTGAACACTCCTCTGAGACCATATGAAGTTACAAACAATAAAAACTGATTACATTCGCTGTCATTCAGAATGTGTCAGTTATACTGCATCGTCAAAACAAAAAGGGTTAAAAAGTTAATCTGGAGATTACAAACACATTTTACCAGACCAGACACCAGGGACCCAGTAGTGGTCAGATCGAGTCTTCACAAGAACTTCTGCTGTTTAAACCCAAATTATACTTTTCGCATGCGCATGTCTGTGACGTAAATTTATTTCAGCCGACAGTGTGCAAGCCAGTTTTTTTGGATGCGGCCTGCGTGCACTGTATGCAATAACAAATATGTAAACACATCCATTCGTGCAGAAACCCAGTGATAAATAATCACAAACAGAATCACATCTGCAGCTCTGCAGAGAACTCGCATGAGCAAGTCTGTTGTTCATTTCCTCTGAGGAGGTTTGATTCAAATATTATTGTTTTGGTACCACTTTATAATTAGATTATCCTTAGAAAGGATTTATAAATGGTTTATAATTAGATTATCAATCCAGTTGATAATGCTTTTTTTTTTTTAAAGTGAAGTTATTTTTTGGGCAGTAAGGGAGAGAGAGAGAGAGAGAGAGAGAGAGGGAATGACAAGCAGCAAAGTGCCGTGGGTCGCACTCGAACCCATGAACGCTGCAGTCAGGAGCCATTGAAGTGCCCAGACACTTAATAAATAATAGATAAGAGAAGTGTCACATCATCATTTATTAATGAGTTACAATAAGGCTCACTTTACCAGTTATGAATGGTAGTAACTCATTAGTAAGATTAATGAGTAGTAAGCATTACCTTGATCTTGCCAAATAGTTGGTCTTTATCAATGTATGAAAACTGTGTTATAACATGTTTCTAATTGTTTATTTATGATTTATAAAGTGTTAACAATTGAATTATTAACCTAAATATAAACCATTTATAAATCCTTCATAAGGGTAGTCTTATTCTAATGTGGTATCATGTGAATATTTTTCATATTATAAAAAACTGTTGATCAACTGTTAATATTCTGGGGCTGAGAACATCCATCTTAACTGCACCATATCCTGGTTTATTGTACAGGGTTGGGGTAGGGGAGTTGGGGAGTGGGGGGTTGACTTGGCAGTGCATTTTCAGCTGCAGGTAATCTTTGATACCAAGGAAGGCTTAGAACCTCATTTGCGCTGAGGGTTTATTCAGGCATTTATTTATGTCTTTCACTAATAAAAAAAAAAAAAACTCCAACTGGAAGAAAAATATGTGAAATCACTAGCAAACTTATTGACCTTTTGTGCTTAAATATTGAATATCTTGAGTATCTTATAGTAGTAGTACTTAGTATTGAAAAATGAAAATATGCTAAAGAGGCTGGAGACTTCCCTCCCCTTCTTTATCCCAATGCCCCCCCATGTCATGAAACGTCACACACTTAACTGACATCACCTGGTGAGAGATTGATTGCTTGCAACAACATTGCAACACGTTACCTAGACAACGCCAAAACATGTTTCGACCTATTTTGGGTTTGTGACTTTAGATTTTAGATGACTGACTTCCTCCCTTCGCTCCCTGTTTGTAAACAGAATAGTAACGTAGGATCAGATCTGATAAAAGCAGATTAGGAATTTCTTATCGTCATCACAGAAAAACCAACTACGCAGGTCTGGCTCTGAGTCACCACTGAGCTGTGTTTACACTCACATGTATACTTTTTTTAATCTTCTAAAAGGATAATGATAGGGTTCCTTCCTGTCATGCAGGTTTTTCTTTTTTCTTCCAGTCTATGATGGTTGTTTAACATTAAACAACTGTAAACAGGATTATCCTGCATTTAAGTCACAACACTATGGGTAATTACTTCAAGCAAAGTCTAAAGAAATGCGAGTGAACGGAAAGTGTGTATAACAGGCTCAACATGGCTTCTAGAGAGCCCTCATGCACCTGATCACTAATCCCTCAAAATCAATGAGTCCATGAAGGTGGACACTGTGATCGGGCCCAAGGCAGTCACAACTTCAAGGTGAGAGAAACAGCATCTAGTGCTGCTGAAACTTCCAGACACTCCTTGCTTGCAAAAAAGGGAAGTTCAGTATTTATTAAACCCTTTAATGAACCCACATTCTCTTAATAAAATGACCATGAAATAGGGTTTGGAAATACATGCAGGGAAACGTTTGCATTTAAAGCCAGTGAAGCCGACCTGATGTTCGCCTTTTCACACATCTCTGTACGAAGGCACATCAGATGCAGTTTTTTATAAAGCAAGAAGCTTTTCTGTCCTCCTCATGATGCATGTGTGGAGGTTTTTTCCTCACTGAGTTTAGGGAAATTACTCAGTGGAATTATATTTGTGTCAGATTTCTGAGTAAACAATTTTTTTTTATAATTCTGAATGACAATCATATAAATATTCATTTATTGCAAACAAAAATCTGTTGTGTGCTCAGTCAATTTAATCTGCTGTTAACCACATAAAATAACAGGAATAATCTCTCTCACTCTGTTTCATTCATTTTCCCCTTGTTCAAATTCCCAATATATACTGTATATATATCATGTTGTTACAACATGATGCAATTTCAGCCAATTGTCTCACTGTAAGTCTGAGATTTTTTGGCTGTTTTTTCTCAGCACCAGGAGAACTATAACTGGATGGAGAAGAATTCTTAAAGTGATGGTTCAGGTTATTTGATGTGAGGTCGTGTGAGCTACTTATTTATAGTCAGTGTATTACCTGCAGTAGATTCGGATTAGCTCTCAGTTTAGAGAAGCAGGAGCACTAGTACAGAAGCTGAGTGATGAGCTGCTGCGGATGGGGTCATCCACATAAAAGTGTTTTAACGACTTAAAAAAAAACCCACAGAATTTTTTTTTTATATCAGTTGAAGTGCTGCTTTATTTTGCTGTTTGAATGCAAATAAAGTGGTGAAAATTAAATAGCTCAACTGATGTTGGGGTTTTTTTTCAGCCCCATCTTTTTAGTGGCTAAAACATGGGGCTGAAAAATGAAGCCAACACAGAAATGACAAAAACTGCAGTTCCTCCAAACCACTAGAGTCAGGCTCCTACAGTGAGTCAAACCCTATTGATTCCCATGTTAAAATGTTCAACTTTACAGCAGAAAAAACATGTTCTAAAGACAGTTCGGTCTCTAGAGCTAATTTCTTCCTTCATGATAACTGTACGGGGGTGAATTTTTATATAACTCACCTGTTTACATTTTATTAAGACTTAGAGTTCTGTATAATTGAGGGTATGGTCATCGAAGACTCAGCTCCATACAAGCCCCACCTCTTTGTCCATTTTTGGATTAGCAGCTAGATAGGGGCGGAGTCAGGCACTGCCAAGATGGTGATGGCAGAGCAGCTCACTGAGCTTCAAAACTACTGACGTCATGGAGGCTACATCTATCTTTATTTACAGTCTGTGATTTATGTGGATGCCCCGTCAGCAGCTCATCACTCAGCCTCTGCACCAGCACTCCCACTCTTCTCTGAACTGAGAGTTGATCTGAATCTACTGGAGGTAATACACTGACTACAGAAAAGTACCTCACACAACCCCACATCAAATAACCTGAACCATTCCTTTAAAGTCAGACACAAAGTGAGTTTAAATACATTTGTTTGTACGTGTAGCTGTTTTACAGATAGGACCATGTACACCATATGTCTACTGCAGCAAGGAAAACATATAGAATAAAATAAAATATTCAGTGAGTTCAGAACAGATTTTTGTTTGCTCAAATAAATTAATGGTTGAGCATCACTTTTCTCACTGTATTGAGTGATATTAATTTCTCCACAAAATATTTTCCAGTGCTGAAAACGTTCACTGTGCACAGATATACTGCCACAGAGGTCAGGCTTGTATTTTACACATGGTGATTTGACCCATGGAACAGATGTAGGTAAACTTGCTTCATTTGTTCAGGACTTTGGTTGTTTAGACATGCTCAGTAAGAGTGGGTGGTGAGTCTCCACCTCTCAACCAGGGTCTACTTGGTGTGGTCCTGTACCCACTGACAGAGCCTGAGGCAGTAAGTCTGTGGACTGACGGTGGAGAAGGACCGGCCTGGATGTCTCAGCCTCTTCCACAAATGCTCCAGCCTCTTCTTAAAGCTGTAAACTGTGAAAATGTCAATGATGCCGATGAAGTAGCGCTGCTCAGGCCCATCGATGATGTGCAGAGGATTCTTCAGGTTGGGTAGTAAACGTCGGTTTTGGGCCTTGAAGTCAGAGAGCTCAGTTGCATCGTTGCCTGGCCCAGCATGCTTTGGACACACTTGAAGAGTGCTACCACTTGATGCATCTCCTGCTCGTGGTTGCTTCAAACATGTGCCATCTATTTCAGATAGAAGCAAGATGGCATCATCCTCTGGGACTTCCCCAGGGACAGCAGCTACGCCTGCATGAACGGGACTGGAGCCTCGATTCACAGATCTGAAATCACAGGGAAGTCACAGGGAAGAGAGCAGGTATGAGTCACAGTTATGTGGCCTCACTCACACTTCATCTGTGTTGTGAAATATTCTGATTTGTCTAGACAAGAAGATGATACATCAATGTACTAGCAGCGCAGATCGATCTGATACAAGATATACAATCTTTTTGACATATGACATAAATTTTAGTGAGTGAGACAAACCTTCAGAGGAATGAAGGGTAGTAAGTAGGATGTACATAATTGGAATACAGCGCAGATATTTCCAAAGCACAAGTTCTCAAATTAATAAATGTGTTTCTGCTTCATTCCCACAGGCACCTGAATGTACCACTAAGTTCTCTTAGTTGTATAGGGTTACGGTTAGGGTTGCCACAGGGGTCTATCCTTGGTCCATTGTTGTTTTCATTATACAATTGTTCCTAATCAATACTTCAATGTTCACTTTTTTGCTGATGACACAATTCTATATGCTCCAAACTCATCTTCAGTCTGCTTTTGATCACCTCATCTCCTTCATCACAAATTAATCTTAAACACACAGTCTGTAACTTCTGCCTCTAGGGGACTCAATCGAAGCTATAACAACAGACATTATTGGGTGATGCCATGAAATAACATGGGATCATGGGTTTTCAGTCTTCACCACCATTACCGTAAGCTCCTCCCGGGTTGGATTCCTTCAGTGTCGGTGGTTCAGGAAATCAAACAGACCTGGTGATTCTAACTGTTAAAAACACCGATTAAAGCAGTTTGACATTTAAAGTCAGTGTTTGAGCGATGCTTCACTTTAAAAATCAGAGACTCACTGATGCTCTTCAGTGGACACGGGACAGGACCATCTGTGTCGCCAGGTCATTTTACCGGGGTTCAAGCCCCGAATGTTTTGAGTGTAGCCCCGGATATAATTTTTTACATAAGTGTTTGTAGTCTTTGTAACATAACAGCCAGTCAAAATCAGTGTTAGTTTCAGTCTGTGTGTGTGTGCATGGAGCTTGGCAGGGCCTGATGGTCAGTGGTGAAGTAAATGAGTGAGTGACATAACACGTATTGCAGTCAAGTGTCAGCAACTCAAATTACAGCGGGAAGAGTTCAGAAGGAGAAATGGCAGTAGAACATAAGGGGAAAAAACAACTAAATCTTTTTGGACTTTTCCAAAAGAGGAGTAAGGGTAAGCATTAAGCCTGTGTAGTAACTTGTCATTGATGGTTAAACTTGCCTGTTGATTTATGATATGAATCATGATGAAGATTTGATTGCAGGTGCTATTAAACTAGCAGGCCACACTAGTGTGATCCAACAGCATTCTTTTATTGTCCTTTAGCCAAGTTGTTCTGGTTTATGAGATTTCCATGAAGCAAACTAAATCAACAACAACTGACTCATTTTACTGTAGGTTTGGATCAGTGAAGCCGCGCCTCCTAATGCAGGCAGGTGCAAACAAACTGATGTAAATCAGGTATTATGTTTACTGTGGTCACCATCTTAGTTTAGCATATTAGCATTAGAGGATGGAAAAGAATAAACAAAACTAGGTCTAAACCTAGTATATGTCTGGACCATCTATGGTCAAATCCTGATTTTATAACCTCACCGCTTTCTAACAAAATCACCAAACACATGAATTAAAGACAGAGCTGTGATTTCAGCTGTATTCACTGTAATATGATCACTCAGGAGAGATTTAGAAGAGACATTTTTTTCAGTGTATGTGTGTGTGTGTGTGCGTGCGTGCGTGTGTGTGTGTGTGTGTGAAAGTGAGAGAGAGAGAGAGAGAGAGAGAGAGAGAGAGAGAGAGGATGACACTTAGTAAAGGGCCACAGGCCAGACTCGAACCTTGGCCGCGGGGGCAGCAGCCTCAACAGAGAGGTCCAGACAGCCCTCTCCCCGGCCACTTCCATCATTTCCTCCGGGAGAATCCCGAGGCGTTCCAAGGCCAGCTGAGAGATATAATCCCTCCAGCGTGTCGTTGGTCGACCTCGAGGTCTCCTCCCGGTGGGACATGCCCGGAAACACCTCCCTGGGGAGGCGTCCAGGAGGCATCCTCACCAGATGCCCGAACCACCTCAGCTGGCTCCTCTCGACATGGAGGAGCAGCGGCTCTACTCCGAGTCCCTCCCGGATGACCGAGCTCCTCACCCTATCTCTAAGGCTGAGCCCGGCCACCCTGCGGAGGAAACTCATTTCGGCCGCTTGTACTCGCGACCTCGTTCTTTCGGTCATTACCCAAAGCTCATGACCATAGGTGAGGATCGGAACGTAGATCAACCGGAAAATTGAGAGCTTCGCCTTCCGGCTTAGCTCCCTCTTCCCCACAACGGACCGATTCAGCGTCCGCATCACTGCTGACACCGCCCCAATCCGCCTGTCGATCTCCCGCTCCCTCCTACCCTCACTCGTGAACAAGATCCCGAGATACTTAAACTCCTCCACTTGAGGCAAAGCCTCCCCCCCGACCTGAAGCGGGCAATCCACCCGTTTCCGGCTGAGAACCATGGCCTCAGACTTGGAGGTGCTGATCTTCATCCCAGCCATTTCACACTCGGCCACGAACCACCCAAGCGAGAGCTGAAGGTCGGCGTTCGATGAAGCTAGGAGGACCACATCATCCGCAAAAAGCAGAGATGAGATCCTCCTGCCACCGAAACCAAACCTGTCCACCACCCGGCTGCGCCTAGAAATTCTGTCCATAAAAGTTATGAACAGAACCGGTGACAAAGGGCAGCCCTGGCGGAGTCCAACCCTCACCGGGAACAGGTCCGACTTACTGCCGGCTACGCGAACCAGACTCACACTCCTTTGGTACAGGGACTTAATGGCCACTAACAAGGGGCCATCCACCCCATACTCCCGGAGTGCCCCCCACAGGGAGCCCCTAGGAACACGGTCGTAAGCCTTCTCCAAATCCACAAAACACATGTGGACTGGATTGGCAAACTCCCATGCTCCCTCCAGCACCCTAGCGAGGGTAAAGAGCTGGTCCACAGTTCCACGCCCAGGACGAAAACCACATTGCTCCTCCTCGATCTGAGGTTCAACTATCGATCGGACCCTCTTTTCCAGTACCCTGGCATAGACCTTACCAGGGAGGCTGAGGAGTGTAATTCCACGGTAGTTGGAACACACCCTCTGGTCTCCCTTCTTAAAGATGGGGACCACCACCCCGGTTTGCCACTCCAAAGGCACTGCCCCCGATGTCCACGCAATGTTGCAGAGGTGTGTCAACCAAGACAGCCCTACAACATCCAGAGCCTTGAGATACCCAGGGCGGATCTCATCAACCCCCGGGGCTCTGCCACCGCGCAGTTGTTTCACTACGTCGGCGACTTCTGCCCCGGAGATTAGATCATCCATCCCCAGGTCTCTTGGCTCTGTTTCCTCTACGGAATACGTGTTGGTGGGATTGAGGAGCTCCTCAAAGTATTCCTTCCACCGTCCTACTATATCCTCAGTTGACGTCAGCAGCTCCCCGCCCCCACTGTAAACAGTGTGAGCGAGTTGCCGCCTTCCCCCCCTGAGGCGCCGGACGGTTTGCCAGAACCTTTTTGGAGCCGATCGATAGTCTTCCTCCATTGTCTCACTGAACTCCTCCCACGTCCGAGTTTTTGCCTCAGCAACTGCCGCGGCTGCACTCCGCTTGGCCCGGTACCAGTCAGCTGATTCCTGAGACCCACAGGCCAACCACGCCCTGTAGGCCTCCTTCTTCAGCCTGACGGCTTCCAGTAGGACAATGGAGTCCCCTTTCGGGGCACTTTCCAGCACCCGTCCCAAGGACTCCAAAAAGGGCGGGTAGTCTGAACTGCTGTTCGGTGCATAAGCACTGACAACAGTCAGAACCCGATCCCCGACCCGAAGGCGCAGGGACGCAACCCTTTCGTCCACCGGGGTAAACTCCAACGTACAGGCAGAGAGCCTGGGGGACACTAAAAAGCCCACCCCGGCCCTCCGCCTCTCACCCGGAGCAACTCCAGCAAAGAGGAGAGACCAGCCCCTCTCAAGGACTTGGGTTCCGGAGCCGACGCTATGTGTCGAGGTGAGGCCGACTATATCTAGCCGGTATCGCTCGACCTCTTCCACAAGCTCCCGCTCCTTCCCCGCCAGAGAGGTGACGTTCCATGTTCCAAAGACCAGTTTCCGTAACCGAGGATCGGACCGCCAAGGCCCCCGCCTTGGTCTGCTGCCCAATCCACAATGCACCGGATCCCTCTGACTCTTCCTGCAGGTGGTGAGCCCACTGGGAGACGAACCCATGTTGCCGGTTCGGGCTGGGCCCGGCCGGGCCCCATGGGCTAAGGCCCGGCCACCAGGCGCTCGTCCACGGGCCCCAACCCCAGGCCTGGCTCCAGGGAGGGGCCCCGGTGTCCCTCCGGGCCGGGTACTCGGGTTCTTGATAGTATTTATCATATATTTCTTCTTAAAACTGCCTCTATCACACTAGTATTGAGACAGACAGGACAAACAGTGATATAGGCTGCATAGTAATAAATGTGGGTGGATGGAGGGTGAAAACAAGAGATAACTGCCCCATCCCACCAGGACATATTAAAGCTCCCACTAACCTGTAACACACACACACAGATAAACACAGGGCTGTACTCCCATCTGAAGGCACACCACTCAAATACAGCACGTTGTCGCCCTCTAGTGGAGGCACTGCAATCTATGATTTATCTGTCAAGCCACACAGTACACACACTGCAAGCACCTGCCACCACTCAAGGTGGAGACTACTTAACCATCCTGGGGCCTGGTCTCCCAGCTTCTCTAAAACCTCTAAAATAATGTCAAACATTATATCATTATGTGCCATTATTTATATTTATATGAATAATGTGCTTAGTTCACCCTGTTGGCCAGAACACATGTACAGGTTCAGTACAGATGCCTGGTGCCAGGAATCATTTGAAAGATGCTGTGGTTTCACTGTCTGAAAGTCATGAATATATTAACTGAATAGCACTGTAGTGGACACACCTGGCCTGGCATCAGTCACAGGCCATAAAAGAAGTTCATTATAAGGACATACAGAGTTATGGACCGAAAATTGACACTTTGTTACTCTTCTCACCATCAAACTATCAAATTGATAGGAAACAGAGACAAATAACCCTTCTCTTTCATAAACAGACAAGCTGTTAGCATGTCAGAGAGATGCTCAACCAGATCATGGATCAAAAGGTCAGCTCCAGAGGATCAACAAATGGACACCAGGCAAACTGGAAAGAACAACCAAAATCTCCATTTTGTAACAGTAAGACTCTGTCTATTGATATTAGATTGTTGCTTTTATAGGAAAAGTAAGACCAAAAGAACTGATTATCACTAAGGTGTGAATCCTGGACTCTGTCTCACACACAAACTGAGGTTTCTTGCTCTGTCCCGTCTCTACATAACAGAATCAGAAATTACAAGCCACATTCCAATCTTGACAATACACCAGCAGTTTACTCTGTTCAGACAGATCTGAGAAAAATATCAAATTAAATATCTAGCTATTTTTTATATGTGATGTTTCATGTAGTAAGTCAAACTCCAGATCTCTATCCACTAGAATGGTTGAAATGGAACATATAGATTCTATAGATTCCTTTCATGTGACCATACTGTCAGCATCTTTCACACAAGGTAACACACACTACATGACATCCAGAATGTCTTTATTGTTACTATTATAGTCAAAGAACTGCTGTGTAATACACATTTATAGACTATTAGCTTTAGGAAATGTTTATTATGTTGTTTGATCAGTTAACCACTCACAGATGTGAAAGTTTTTATAGGTAAACTCTAAATTAAACATTTATAAAAGTTATATTAAAAGTTCTATAGAAAGTTATTCTCCTCTCTAGTTGACACACTTGGCTTGTTGGTTTCGGGCTTGGATCCGTGCCAATCTGTCTGCGTTTTGCTCTTGATTTCTCTTTTATCACTTTGTCTGAGTTCTTTGTTCTTTCTTTACCCTGTGCTCCAAGTAACTTTTTCTTTGTCTACACTCAATCTTTTATTCTTACAAGTCGAGCAAAAACCAAATAAACCAAAACAACATAAGTGCCTCAGACAGTTGTGTACAGTTTTCTTCAGTCATCTGGCCAACACCTAGTCTGTATTGTAGAGTCTGTTTCTTGTAGGTTGTGATGCTGTTGTGGTGAAAAAAATCTGTCCGCAGAAAGACAGACAGCTGACTCAGTGTGTTTGATATTTCCCTGGATCTGTCTATGATCTGTTCAAAAAACTACACATGAGTCAGTTGTTGCGTTGTGCGCTTTTTATCAGAGTCCAGGGATCAACCTCACATCAGATCCAAGGAGGCGGTTTGGGCAGCCATCCCTGTTCTCAGTGTGTGTGTGTGTGTGTGTATGTGTGTGTGTGTGTGTGTGTGTGTGTGTGTGTGTGTGTGTCTTTCTATGGTTGTCAGATTGTTTGGTTTAATACCATCATTGTGAGATCACTGTGGCCAGACCTCACAACTTCAAAGGTTTATTTGAGGATTAAGACTTGGTTTTAAGGTCACAGGAAGAATTAGGTTTAGGTTAGGGTTAGGGTCTAGGGCACATATGTCAAACTCAAGGCCCGCGGGCCAAGTCCGGCCCGCAATGTAATTATCTTTGGCCCGCATGATAATATCTAATCACTATTAGAGCTGGCCCGCACGCGCTGCTAATACATTACAAATCCCACAATGCACTGCCAGCGTGTTCGCGTGTCATTCGAGAGCCCGCGAGCGCGAGTCCTTGCCCACTCATTCATCAGCATCCCTATGGAGCACCTGTGGTCAACTGTCAGCTACTACTCTCCCCAAAAATGGCTAAACGAAAGGTGGACTTTGAAAACAGGGGTTTCCAAGGCAGTTGGGAGGCAGAGTATATGTTCACAGATATAAAAGGCAAAGCTGTTTGTCTTGTGTGCGGAGACGGCGTGGCTGTAATGAAAGAATATAACGTAAGAAGACACTATGAAACAAAACACCAAGACAGGTACAAACACGTGGACGTGAAACAAAGGCAGCAGAAGGTAGAAGAGATGAAAAGAAGTCTGATGTCACAGCAGGGTATGTTCACAAAAGCCAAATCACAAAGTGAGGCTGCTGTAAAGGCTAGTTTTATTGTGGCAGCAGAGGTCGCAAAATCAGCCCGGCCCTTTACCGAGGGGGAATTTTTCAAAAACTGCATGATGAAAGTGTGCGACCGTTTGTGCCCAGATAAAAGGCAAGTGTTTTCAAATGTGAGCCTGAGCAGAAACACGGTTGTTGACCGTGTAGATCAGCTTTCCACCGATCTACAGCAACAGCTGGTGGGAAAGAGAAAAGAGTTCATCGCATACTCCCTAGCTGTGGATGAGAGCAGCGACACTTCAGATATTGCCCAGCTGTCATTATATGCTTTGCAGGCTTTGTTAATTTCAGGTTCAATTCATGCAACAAGGTCATTTGCAAGTTCTCAATAAACATTGAACCAGTCCGGCCTTCGACTTGTACCATTTTTTTTTAAATTTTGGCCCACTGTGTATTTGAGTTTGACACCCCTGGTCTAGGGAATGCTTTATGCCAGTGAGTGTCCTCAAAGCTAACAGCAGAGACTCTCAAATAAAGGACAAACTACGAAAAAAAAAAGAAGATCTTTACTGACTTTTTTGTTCTCATGATGAGAGTTGCAAAGGAAAGACTCTGGTGGCGCTCGTCGTTGTGCAAGGGCTGATGGGCCAGGAGGAGACTGTAGTCCAGCACATTGAGCCTCCGCAGGAAGTGTGTGTCGATCTCCACCTGCTGTAGGAGCCAGGGACGCTGCTGGTCTGCACAAACACACACACACACTTAGACACGAATGTATAGAAGACATACACAAGAAACGTGTATGGATATTATTACTGATGTGTTTGTATTGAATCTTTATTAGGAAGTATTATGTTTTCACGTTATCCATCTGCTTCTCAGGAACGCAATATCTCAGTAACGCCTTGATGGAACGTCCTGAAATTTGGCACAAACATTCACTTGGATTCAAGGATGAACTGATTAGATTTTGGTGGTCAAAGGTCAAGGTCACGTGACCTCTTAAAGCACGGTTTTGGCCTCTTGAATGTGGTATCTCAAGACCACCTTGAGGAAATTTGTTTAGATTTGGCACAAACATTCACTTGGACTCAAAGATGAACTTATTCAATTTTTGTGGACAAAGGTCGAAGGTCAAGGTCACAGTGACCTCACGTTGTTGTGAATGCAATATATCTGTCACAGGCCTGTGATTTCTCCATGTTTTCCCCTTCTCCTTTTGTGGGTGTGTCTTTGTCTGTGTCTGTCTGGAGCTGGGGCGGCGCCAGGAGGTCACTGGAATCAAGCTGTACACCCGCTGCAATCACTCACCTGCTCCTCATCTCACAATCAAGCCACCTACACTGCTGCAGGATAAAGGACCGGTTCATTCCTCCACTCCTCGCCAGATCGTCCGTTACCCACCCGTGTTCCTGTGTCCTGCTTTCTGGCTCCATTACTCACGTCAACCAGCTCTGCTTCAACTACTCACCTGCCCTTCTGGAAACTCCACAGCCTGGATCCACATTGGCCTCAGCCCCCTTTACTGGTTCTCTACAAAAATAAACTGTGATTCTCATCCTATTCGGTGTCCTGAGTCTGCATCTTGTGGTCCCACATTCAGTGTACTTAATAGAACGATCTGGCCACAACGATGGACCCCGCAGACCAGGACACAGAGTCCACTCGTTATCAGTGTGCTGTAGCACAACAGGGTGTGCTCTTAGGTCAACATGACAACTGCATTCGAGCCTTGTATGAGTGTAACTAATCTCTAACTCAACAAGTGGCAGCTTTAACCACTCAGCTTTCAACTTTCTTCTCCTCACAGTCTCCTGCCACTCCGCCTGCTCCGCCGGCTTTCCCGATACCCACAACCTGGATACCTCACCTCCACGTGATGGATGTGCAACCTCTCTGGAGCCTTTTTCAGGTCAGCAAAGTCTGTGTCGAGGTTTTTTGTTCCAATGTCAAACTATTTTCAGGCTAAGACCTGTTTCCTTCTCAACTGACCTCTCCAAGATTCAGTACATTTTTGGCTTACTATGGGGGAGAGCACTTGCTTGGGCAGAGGCAAGATTCTCTCGAACGATTGGAGTTTAGTTCAGTGAGTTTTTGGAGGAGTTCAAACTGGTTTTTAATAATGCATCCAGTAAAAACCCCCGCTTTCAAGTTCCAGCTACTTTGAGCTGTCAACTCCTGTCACTTCCTCTGCTGGCACTCATCGACTCTGGGGCTGAGGAGAATTTTTTGGACTTTCAAGTTGCTGAGCAGGCTGGCTTCACCGCAGAGGCCCTGGAGGCTCCCCAGAACGCTTTAGCAGTGGATGGAAGGCTCCTCTCTTCCTCTGGTTAAACACAATCCACATATTGACTGGTCGCAGAGGAAAATTATTAGCTGGAGCCTAGCCTGTCATAAAAATTGTCATTCTGCTCTTTCTCCAACTAATGGTTTGTCTGGCCTGCCTCCTGCCCCTCCTGATCCTCCTGATCTTTCTGGTGTTCCTGAAATCTACCACGACCTCCATGAAGTTTTCAGTAAAAGTAAGGCTCTCTTACTCCCACCTCACAGACCCTATGACTGTGCCATAGACCTCATCCCCAGCTCCACGTTTACATCCAGCCGTCTGTACAAATTGTCAAGACCAGAGCATGCAGCCATGGAGAACTATATTCGAGACTCACTTGCAGCAGGTATTATCAGACCATCGTCCTCACCTTTGGGAGCAGGTTTTTTCTTTGTGGAGAAGAAGGATACCTCTTTGAGGCCATGCATAGATTTCCGTGGGTTAAATGACATTACTGTAAAGAACAAATACCCACTTCCACTCATTGACTCTGCTTTCACCCCTCTTCAAGGTGCCACAGTCTTTACCAAACTGGACCTGCGCAACGCGTACCATTTGGTGCGTATACGCAAGGGAGATGAGTGGAAGACTGCATTCAATCGTTAATGATGTGTTGAGAGACTCCCTAAATCAGTTTGTCTTTATTTACATCACATATGTCAAACTCAAGGCCCGCGGGCCAAGTCCGGCCCGCGATGTAATTATCTTTGGCCCGCATGATAATATCTAATCACTATTAGAGCTGGCCCGCACGCGCCGCTAATACATTACAAATCCCACAATGCACTGCCAGCGTGTTCGCGCGTCATTCGAGAGCCCGCGAGCGCGAGTCCTTGCCCACTCATTCATCAGCATCCCTATGGAGCACCTGTGGTCAACTGTCAGCTACTACTCTCCCCAAAAATGGCTAAACGAAAGGTGGACTTTGAAAACAGGGGTTTCCAAGGCAGTTGGGAGGCAGAGTATATGTTCACAGATATAAAAGGCAAAGCTGTTTGTCTTGTGTGCGGAGACGGCGTGGCTGTAATGAAAGAATATAACGTAAGAAGACACTATGAAACAAAACACCAAGACAGGTACAAACACGTGGACGTGAAACAAAGGCAGCAGAAGGTAGAAGAGATGAAAAGAAGTCTGATGTCACAGCAGGGTATGTTCACAAAAGCCAAATCACAAAGTGAGGCTGCTGTAAAGGCTAGTTTTATTGTGGCAGCAGAGGTCGCAAAATCAGCCCGGCCCTTTACCGAGGGGGAATTTTTCAAAAACTGCATGATGAAAGTGTGCGACCGTTTGTGCCCAGATAAAAGGCAAGTGTTTTCAAATGTGAGCCTGAGCAGAAACACGGTTGTTGACCGTGTAAATCAGCTTTCCACCGATCTACAGCAACAGCTGGTGGGAAAGAGAAAAGAGTTCATCGCATACTCCCTAGCTGTGGATGAGAGCAGCGACACTTCAGATATTGCCCAGCTGTCAATTTTTATCCGCGGAGTGGACTCAAGTCTGTGTGTAACAGAAGAACTTTTGGGATTAATATCAATGCATGGCACAACTACGGGGAAAGATCTGTTTGAAGAGGTATCCAGGTGTGTTAGTGAAATGGGGCTGCCTTGGGATAAACTTGTGGGATTGACGACAGATGGAGCGCCCGCGATGTGCGGTCAAAAGAGTGGATTGGTGGGGAGGGTCCGGGAGAAGATGCGGGAGGAAAACGGCGCAGGTGAACTGACAGCGTATCATTGCATCATACACCAGGAGTCGTCTTACTGATGAACACCTTCACTCAGTCCTGAGGATTTCCTCAGCTCAAAGCCTGACGCCTAACATTGATGAACTTGCATCCAAGATAAGACACCTAGTATTTGGCTCAGACAAGTGAGCATCCACCAGAGCAGTAAACTGAGCTTTAATGCATGTTTCTTTTTTTATTGCTGCTACAGGACATTTTGATTTTTCTTACAAGGAAATTATTTTTTGGCTGTTGTTGGCCTGTAGAAAAATGTTGTCAGTTAAAAATTAATCCAGAAAAGCTGCAGAAAGAGCTTTAGAAAATAAATGCAACTGATTTTTCTTGTATTTAATGTTTAATGTTGTTGTTGTTTTTAGGTACAAACTGTCTTATAAGCTTTGTCAGTTCCAGGTTCAAGTATTGACTACTGTGCATCACAGAGTGGCAAACTGAGCTTTAATGCATGTTTCATTTTTGCACTTTTTTTCTTGCTGCTACAGACACTTCATTTTTCTTTGAATTATTTTTTTGCCTGTTGTTGGCCTGTGGGGAAATGTTTTCATTAGAAATTACTATGGAAAGCTCCAGGTAAAAAGTGAATACACCGGATTTTTAAAATTTATTTTATGATTAATGTCATTATATGCTTTGCAGGCTTTGTTAATTTCAGGTTCAATTCATGCAACAAGGTCATTTGCAAGTTCTCAATAAACATTGAACCAGTCCGGCCTTCGACTTGTACCATTTTTTTAAATTTTGGCCCACTGTGTATTTGAGTTTGACACCCCTGGTTTACATTGATGACATCCTGATATTTTCCAGAAATCCCACAGAACACCAGGATCATGTTCACCAAGTTCTACAGAGGCTCATGAAAGCAGAGAAATGTGAGTTTCACACACCCAAAGTCAGCTTTCTTGGTTTTGTCATAGAGGCTGGGCAAGTCAAGACAGATCCAGAGAAGGTTAAGGCAGTTGCGGATTGGCCCATACCTACCACCTGCAAACAGCTACAAAGGTTCCTTGGCTTTGCCAACTTTTACCAGAGGTTCATAAGAAATTTCAGTCAAGTTGTGGCGCCCTTAACCTGTCTTACCTCTCCGTCTCACCAGTTTTCCTGGACTCCAGAAGCTGACTCCGCCTTTGCCAAGCTTAAATCCCTGTTCGTTTCTGCCCCTGTTCTGATTCAACCGGATTCCTCACAGCAATTTGTTGTGGAAGTGGATACCTCAGAGGTCGGTGTTGGAGCAGTCCTTTCCCAGAGAAGGGGTCCCGAGTCCCGTCTGCATCCATGTGCCTTCTATTCTCGCCGTCTGTCCCCAGCAGAACGCAACTATGATGTGGGTAATCGGGAACTACCGGCGGTGAAGATGGCCTTGGAGGAGTGGAGGCACTTGCTGGAGGGTTCCATACAACCCTTTGTGGTATGGACAGATCACAAGAATCCTGCCTATATTCAATCTGCTAAACGTCTTAACTCCCGTCAGACTCGCTGGTCTCTGTTTTTCAGCCGTTTCAATTTCACCCTCTCATTCCGACCCGGATCTAGGAACATCAAACCTGAAGCCCCAGAGGGAAATCCACACACACACCACCTGCTGGATTGCTCAGACCTCTCCCTATCCCTGGTCGCCCTTGGTCCCATATAGCCTTGGATTTTGTCACCGGACTGCCCCCCTCTCACAATAATACTGTCATTTTAACCAATTGTTGATCGCTTTTCCAAAGCAGCCCACTTTGTTGCCATACCCAAGCTTCCCTCTGCCAAAGAGACAGCTGACCTCCTCACCACACATGTTGTCAGACTCCATGGAATCCCTCTGGACATTGTATCAGACCGTGGACCACAATTCATATCCCAGGTATGGCAGTCTTTTTGTAAAGGGTTGGGTGCAACTGTCAGTCTCTCCTCTGGTTTTCACCCGCAGACTAACGGCCAAACTGAAAGGGCGAATCAGGACCTGGAATCTGCTCTTCGTTGTGTGGTTTCCTCCAACTCCTCTACCTGGAGCTCTTTCTTACCCTGGATAGAGTACTCCCACAACTCTCTTCTGAGCTCTGCCACAGGGGTGTCTCCTGATGAAGCTTCACTTGGCTACCAGCCTCCTCTTTTTCCCTCCCAGGAAGAGGAGCTCTCGGTACCCTTCATCCAGCATCATCTACGCCGTTGTGAGTCGATCTGGAAGAAAACCAAAACGGCTCTGGAGAAGACTGCTGTAAGGAACAAACATCTAGCTGATAAACGCCGCATCCCTGCCCCACAATACTGTGAAGGTCAGTCAGTTTGGTTATCCTCAGGCAACATCCCTTTGAGGACTGACTCAAAGAAATTGTCTCCCCGCTTCCTGGGCCCCTTTCCCATTGTGAAAGTCATTAACCCCTCTGTTGTCCGATTGAAGCTTCCTGCCTCTATGCGCGTCCATCCCGTGATTTCTCCATGTTTTCCCCTTCTCCTTTTGTGGGTGTGTCTTTGTCTGTGTCTGTCTGGGGCTGGGGCGGCGCCAGGAGGTCACTGGAATCAAGCTGTACACCCGCTGCAATCACTCACCTGCTCCTCATCTCACAATCAAGCCACCTACACTGCTGCAGGATAAAGGACCGGTTCATTCCTCCACTCCTCGCCAGATCGTCCGTTACCCACCCGTGTTCCTGTGTCCTGCTTTCTGGCTCCATTACTCACGTCAACCAGCTCTGCTTCAACTACTCACCTGCCCTTCTGGAAACTCCACAGCCTGGATCCACATTGGCCTCAGCCCCCCTTACTGGTTCTCTACAAAAATAAACTGTGATTCTCATCCTATTTGGTTTCCTGAGTCTGCATCTTGTGGTCCCACATTCAGTATACTTAACAATATCAGGAATGCCCAGAGGGAATTTCACGACTTCTGTCACACAGTGACCTCACAAAATACATTTTTGGTCATGACTCACAAATTCATTCACTAATTATGGCACAATTTAACCAAAATATCTATAAGGATAAAATGAAGTGATGTGTCTGATTAGATGTTTGCACATGTTTCATTTTAAAATAGAGGAATGCATTTTGACACAGTTGTAGAAACAATTCACTGACCAGCCTGAGGGGGGGTATAATAATATCACCCTTACTATCCTGCTTCCTTACCCAGAGTGATGTACTGGCCCTCAAAGTTCAGATCTTTGAGAACCACAATAATCTGGCTCCCCTCTGGTGAGGGGTCCGTCCATCGACTCACCTCACAGCCCTTAATGTCGTACCTGACAACACAGAACACATGTCAGACAACATGAACTGCTCCTAATGTTACTCCCTCTGTGTTATTTCTACTGGCAGCTTACCTGGCATTGATCCGATCATCTGGATAAAACACACTTTGCATAACAATGAAGTATTTCTGCAAAGGACAAGTGGAACAGACAAGGTTCTTTATGATCATTGGTAACATCCTGTTATAGAAGTAGAGCAGTGATAAAATGTGATGTGTACCTTCCGTCTGTGTGGGATCTTGATCCTGTGGACACCTGGAAAACACAAGAGAAAACACTCAGTCCAGTGCAACAGTTTATTTACTCAAGTACTGAGTTAATATACAATGACTCTTCCCATTCTGTGCTACTTTATACTAATACTGTACATTTTACAGCCTTAGTTGTTATCAATATTTTCCAAATTAAGTTTTACATTAAAAAATATATGATAAGTTTATGAAGTACAACACTGTGTTAAAGATTAAACCAGTGGTTCAGAACCTTTTTGAGTTGACTCACAAAACATCTGTGTGTATTCAAGGCTCCATCATAACAACGTTTTGTTTGGTTTTTATGGGCATTCCCTAAATCCTTTAAGGACGCTGGCATCCTTTCATTTTTAGTTGAAGTGATCCCAGATGTCTTAGCGCGTGACTTTCCCAAGGGTCTGGAAATGAATAGAGCTCACCGGGTGCTTACCTCACGCAGAGCGGGAAACCAGCCACATACAGCCATAGTGGCTAGGTTCCTAAAATAACAAGACCGGGATCAGATTATGCAAGCAGCACAAAACAAGGGAGAGTTGATGTGGAGAGGACATCATGATTATCATGATTTTTCCTGACTACTCCAAGGCAGTGAATGAGAAACGCAAGCAGTTCAACAGTGCAAGCAGATGCTCCATGAATGCCCCATGGGTTTTTCCCTGCGCTTCCTGGCTGTGTTGGTCATCAATCCCAAGGGTGAAGATGATCCCCAGAAAGCCCTGGAATACATTGTGACTGATGCTTCCAGTGATACTCATCCACTGAGCAAACATAATAACATGGTTACTGTTGAAAAAAAAAAAAAAAAAGGTAATTTGACACAGTGTTGAGAAGATGTTATACTGCCCCCTACTGACAGCTTTTGTAAGTGTTTTTTTTCTCTGTTCTAAACAAAAAAACACGAGACAACAATAGGTTATGGGCCCAGAGCGTCGCTGAAAAGCCGTGTTGTGATATAAACAGTGTTGTGGGATTCACAATGGAAAATAAGCTGAGCGGGCCAGAGAACTGGGCAACATGGGAATTTCAGATGGAGCACTTGCTGAAGGCAAAAGGACTGTGGGGCATGGTAATGGAAACCGACAGTTTTCAGAACCACAGTCTGTAAAACTTGGTGACAGCAGGGTGGTGGATGCACTAGGACTTGGCAACATCAAACTCAGAATGACATTCAAAGTCAGTGATGTAAATGTATGATGTGCTGTATGCTCCCAAGTTATCCGGGAATCTTTTCTCAGTGGGAGCTGCTACAAGAAAAGGAAATACAGTGCAGTTCAAGAAGTCTCGCTGCTACATACAGTACGTGGGAAAGATGGAACTCTCCATGGGATGGGAACACAAAGATCTGATGGGCTATATCAGCTGGACGTCGAGGGAAGTTTGCCTGTGTGTCACGGTGCATCAAGTGCATCAGTAACAGCCAGCCTGTGGCATCAGCGCCTGGGTCACACCAGCAAATTAAAGGAACTCAAAAATCTGGTAAATGGAGTGGATTTTACTGCAGAGAAAGAAGCTACCTTCTGTGAAGCCTGTGTGGAGGGCAAGCTGTCTAGAAAACCACACAAGCCAGTGGGAGAGATTCGCACCAAACGTAAGTTGCAGTTGATCCATAGTGATGTCTGTGGTCCCATGCAGACTGAGTCAATAGGTGGAGCAAAGTACTTTGTGACTTTTATTGATGATTATTCCAGATGTTGCAAGGTCTACTTCCTGAAACAAAAAAGTGAGGTTCATAGCAAATTCAAGGAATTTGAAAAAAACATTCTCCAATGAGTGTGGACAGAAAGTCACAAGGCTGAGAACAGATAATGGTGGGGAATACATATCCAGTGAATTTCAAGAATACTTGAAACCTCAAGGTATTCACCATGAGATGACTGTACCTCACACACCTCAGCAAAATGGTGTTGCTGAAAGGAAAAACAGAACACTGATTGAAGCAGCCAGAAGTATGCTGTCTCATGCTAAGTTGCCAAAAATGTACTGGGCAGAGGCTGTAGCAACCTTCAGCAGATATACAGAACAGAGATGGAGTGGCAAAAAGCCAGACATGAGTCATACGAGAGTATTTGGCTGTGTTGCTTATGCACATTCCTGCATTCCTAAATGGACACCTGGAGGAAGAAATCTACATGGAGCAACCAGAGGGATACATCAAACCAGGACAGGAACATCTTGTGTGCAAACTGAGGAAGTCAATATATGGGCTGAAACAGTCTCCTCGCTGTTGGAGCAAGGCTTTCACAGAGTTCATAAAAGACATTGGCTTTAAACAGAGCATATCAGACCCATGTGTGTTAGAGATTCTAGCTGTGTATGTTGATGATCTGATTTTGATCACGGAATCAACAGAAAGCATGGATGAGTTGAAACAAGCTCTCAAAAGGCGCTACAAGATGAAGGACATGGGGGAGCTGTCCTATATCCTGGGCAACTCTGTTGTTCAAGACAGAGCAAAGAAGTGTGTCTTTCTGCATCAGAAGCATTACATTGAAACCATTCTCCAGAAGTATGGAATGAGCAATGCTAATCCCATTGCAACCCCTGCTGATGCAAATGTAAAGTTAAGAAAGGATGATGGTGTCAGTAAACCTGTGAACCCAAGTACTTATCAGTCCATGGTAGGTAGTTTGTTGTATGCAGCAATGGCCACACGGCCAGACATACTAGCACAAGCAGTGAGTGTTGTGTCAAAGTTCAATGCAAATCCAAACACTGCACATCTGACGGCTGTGAAAAGAATTCTTCGATACTTGAAGGGTACAGTGAATCTTGCCCTCAAGTATGAGCAGTCAGAGTCAGGAACTTTGATTGGTTTCTCAGATGCTGATTGGGCCGGAGATCAGGATGACCGTCACTCAACAACTGGAAATATGTTTTTCCTGAGTGGAGGAGCAGTGAGTTGGTTCAGCAAGAAACAGGCAACAGTTGCACTGTCAACAGCAGAAGCCGAGTATATTGCACTCAGCCAAGCAGCTCAAGAAGGTACCTGGCTGAAGCGATTACTGACTGAACTTGGAATGAGTGATTCGCCTACAGTGATCCTGGAGGACAATCAAGGAGCCATCGCGATCGCAAAGAATCCAGTCAATCATTCAAGAACTAAACACATAGACATTCGCTACCATTACATTCGTGAATGTGTGCAGAATGGGCAAATACAAGTACAGTATTGTTCAACAGTTGATAAGAAGGCAGATATCTTGACCAAGCCACTGACAAGACAAAGGTTTGAGTACCTTAGGAGAGAGTTCGGGCTTTACCCCGTTTAAATCTGTGTAATATGCTTACTGTACTGTCTATTGTTCAATATGTTATGAAAACTGTAAGCAAGGTAACAGGGAATAAGAAGAAAAAATAATAAGAAAAAAAAACTTGTGCAAGTTTGGAAGGATTTATTATTTTGACATTATTTGTGAGGTTGAGCACTGATCTTAGTTATGGAAATTGCTTAAGTGCTTATATGCCAGTGTAAAATTAAGTGGGAGTGTTGTTTTTTTTTTCTCTGTTCTAAATAAAAAAACACATGAGACAACAATAGGTACGACATATTTTCCCCTGCCTTCACCTCCCAGGACGGACACATTTTTTCCCCCTGCACACTTAATGGATCCAGGTATGCCCAGCTCTGCGTGGTATTTTTTATTAAAATTTTTTTACCCTTTTGTTGTTATCTACTGCTCAAATTAAGGGTAACTGTTTTTCCCTACACTGTGATTCGGGTTTACAAGTGTATAAATTTACCCTGTTGGAAATGTCCTGGACGTGCGGGCCAGTTTACAAATAGTGATGATATTAGAGCCTTCCTTAGCAGTCTAAGTCTTCCTACTCTAATAGAAGAACAACGTGACTTATTAGATGCACCCATCACTGTAGAGGAGGTGGAATTTTATAAATGTTATACTACTGAGTTGGCACCTTTACTCTTAGATATGTACAACGAGGCGTTTGAAACTGGCTCTTTGCCCCCCACTCTGATGGAGGCAGTTATCACAGTAGTTTTAAAGAGCAGTAAAAATCCAACAGACTGCAAAAACTACAGGCCCATTTCGCTGCTCGGTTATGATGAAAAGGTGTTGTCAAAGCTTCTATCTTTAAGGCTCAATAAAGTTATTACTTCGCTGATTCATCCTGGCCAGGTGGGCATCCTCCCCAAATGTAGCTACGCCAATAATATCAGACGCCTGATTAACATTATGTGGGCTACTCATAATAATGATTCCCCTGCAGCCGCCATTTCTCTGGATGCAGAAAAAGCATTTGATAGGGTGGAGTGGTTCTATCTATTTCTCACCCTGGAGTCATTTGGTTTCAGCAATAAATTTATCATCTGGACTCAGCTGCTGTATACTCATCCTAGAGCGGCAGTATGAACTAACAGCCTGATTTTGCCCTGGTTTGAGCTTGGTCGAGGAATCAGGCAAGGCGACAGCATCTCCCCAGGCCTCTTTGCGCTGGCCCCTCGAACCTCTGGCCACAGCCATTCGCCTGGAACTGGCAATTCCAGGGTTCAAAATTGGCCAGTCAATCCACAAACTTATGCTGTATGTGGACGATATCCTCGTTTTTGTCTCTGAGCCTGAGCACTCACTTTCCGCACTATTCAAAATTATAGATACATTCTCTTACCTGGCAGGGTACAAAGTTAATTGGTCGAAATCAGAGGCTCCTCCCTTGACTCTGCACTGTCCCAAGTCAATGTTCCAGAGAGGCACTTTTTCATGGCCTAGCAATGGCATCAAATACCTGGGTGTCTATTCCACCTAATTAGCCGACTTAGCTAAGGTTAATATTGAACCTCGGCTGGTCCAACTTGAGGCGGATATTGATAGATGGGCCCCACTTTTTTATCACTGTTTGGGAAAGCCAATGTCTTAAAAATGACCTGTGTACCTAAGTTTAATTATATTCTCCAGGCCCTCCCAGTCAGAATTCCACTCAAATATTTTTAAAGATTTGATAAGCTTTGCAACAAATTTCTCTGGAACAGTAAGCGCCCCAGGCTTAATTTACATAAACAACAAAGGCCGGTTGACCAGGGTTGATTGGGTATTCCCAATCTATTACTTTACTATTATGCATATTATCTCAGACATCTCGCCCACTGGTGTTTGCCCCCCGAGCGTGCTCCGCCCTGGTACTGCATTGAAAGCGCACTCTTTGATGCACTCCCTCCCCTCCACTTTATCACAGCAATATTGCCTGGTGAAGCGCAGACCCACCCTATACTTGCGAACATACAATTGATCTGGAAAAGAATTTCTATTAAACTTAAATCTAACCCCCACCTGAATTTATCAGCAAGCATCTGGCTTAACCCTAAGTTAAAAATAGAGAAGAAACCATTTCTTTCCAAATTTCTTTCTTTCCTCTAATGTAATTAAAATTTAATGCACTGGCCATGAGGCATCTAAATATTACTCCATGCTGCTTAAATGTTTTAATAGTCCAGTCTCTAATCTTAAATCAGCCTGGGAGACTGATCTTAACCTATCCTTCACAGAGCAGGAATGGAATAACATTTTAAAAAACTATAAAAAATCATCTCGGGAACTCAGAACGAGACTAGTACAGTTTAAAATAATAAACAGGGTATACTGATCCCCCTCCAGGTTATTTAGGGTGAAATTAAGAGATAGCCCGAATTGCTGGAGATGCGGGGTGGGCGTTGGCACTCTCCTCCACATGATGTGGTCCTGCCCTGTTGCACAAAACTTTTAGACAGCAGTACATGACAACATCAAAATTATCCTTAAATTAGACATTCCATTCTGCCCGAGCTTATTTGTATTGGGTGATCCTCTCCCTTTAAAACATCTGCCTGCATCACAGGCAGACTGGGTCCAGACATCCCTCATGTTAGGGAGAAAACTTATTGTTACAGAATGGAAGGCAGTCTACCCGTCGCCAGTCAGGGTGTGGTTTTCTCAGCTGGGTATTGTGGCTGCACATGAGCGCCTTTCCTTTAGATTGACCAATCAGGTGGATAAATACAACGTGGTGGGGGAATTACATCTCCTTTATCAAAGGTCCCTAATACAGCAATACAACAACATACCAGCCCGAATCTTTAGGAAATATCTTGAATAACGATATGTACCATTTAACTACCTTCACATCTGCCAAAGTACAGCTCTGTATGTGTGTATGTAAATGAATGTGTATGTACTGTATGTGTATTATTTTATTTTATTTTATTTTTTTATTTTATTTTTTTTTCTATTGTCAATTCTCTTCTAGCTAGTCTGTGTCAGGCGTGCTTGATTTGTTGATTGTTCATCTATATAATTTTGTATCCTGTGCAATTTGTCTGTCTTCTTTTGGCCTTATGTTGAAGGCTATCTTATGTTTTGTCTTTCCTCTTGGTTAAAAAAACAATAAAAACTACTGATTACAAAAAGTGTCCTTAAACACACCACATGGAGTCTTCACTTCAGTCTGAGTCTGAATGAAAAGTCTCTGCTAGTTGAGCTCACCAGCACTGTCTGGATGTTAGGCCACTAATCTAAAATGCTAATGCTAATCTGTGCTAACATGCGTTTCTTGTGGTTAAGAACGTGTGTGTGTGTGTGTGTGTGTGTGTGTGTGTGTGTGTGTGTGTGTGTGTGTGTGTATGTGTGTGTGTGTGTGTGTGTGTGTGGGTGTGTGTGGGTGTGTGTGGGTGTGGGTGTGTGTACCTAGGAACTTGACTAGCAATGAGTGGGGGTACTTCCTCAGATGCTCCATGTAGATCTTCAGGTTGGACAGAAGAAATTTGATCTCTCTTTTGTTCTGGGTCTTCAGAAAGAAGCGTTTATCATTTCTAGAATTTCAAAAGTTCAGAGTCAGTAGATGTCATCAATATCATCAATATCATCAATAATACAACATTCCCAAACACCAACCCTTTATAATAAAAAGCTTTGGAGCAAGTGAGGACTCGTGTCAATCAGAGACAGTTTCAGGAGCCTCTTACAGCTTTCCAAATAAACCAGATTTTTTATGAATCATATGGGTAGTCTGAGTCTCTTAGACAGACACAGACAGCAGCAGTAGGAAGTGAAGTCATGATGTCATGCCTTCTCTAAGTCCAGTCTCTCATTCAGCATTTCATCGGTCTCCTGCGTATTCTTCTGGTTTACTTTTTACGAGACAAACTGCCACCCACTACAGCAGTTACCACATTCTACTACCTTTTAAGAAACTGAAACTGTAGTGATCTAAAACAAGTTAAACAACTTTTACTTTATGAGCACAGAATGAAACTACAGCTCTCATGAATAAACTTCAGGTGGATACTTCATTCACATCCATAAAACTCACCAGTGCTCTCTTCTAAAGTCATTTTTTCAACTTCCTGGTTGTGATCTCTGAAGTCTGACTCCTGTCTGTGCTGCTGTTACTTCAGAATGAGTAATTACAGACTGAGTTAACTGCCACCCCTGGACCCCATGGACTCTTCTGTACGAGGGGTCCCCATGAGTGGACTTTCATCTATGAGCATCTCGGGTTTCAAACAAGGAAGCTAAAGAAGGAAGCTAAAGAAGGAAGCTAAAGAACATAGCATATACACAACATGTATTGAATTCATAAAACTACCATCTTTATCTAAACGAAGTGAGCTAAAGGCTGTGTCCTTAGTTAGTTCTAGTTCTTTAGTTACTGATGCTGGACTTGAAAATAGATGTGACCCTGGATCATAGTAATTTCAACAGTGTTAGAAAAAGACAACACATAAAATGCTATGTGATGGGTTACAACAGGTGCCACTCGCCACAATAAACACCAGCATCTGGTTGTACCTTTTCCTGGACTCACTATGACCTGAAGTTACAATGGTAGTGAGGAAGAATATAAACATTCTTCAGTGTAGACTTGCTGACACCTAGGAATAACTCTATAACCCCACTGAGTTGGCCCCTTGATCCTTCGATCAAGGAGATACTACTTACCTTAATCGAGTACCCCTCCCTGTTTATTATCAACCACCATCTGTCCCCGTATAACACCCCTTCTTCCCTCTTACATCACCAACGCTTCATTGTCTTAACAACATCTTACCTGTGCATATGATGATTCAGTCTAGGGGCCCTTCCTGCCCTACCTGTGGATATGCTGACTCAGCTTAAGAGCCCCTCCTACCCCTTTGATAACTTGAACCTAGGTGTTACACAGCAAGACCTCTAGAGAACATTACCTTTTGTTTCTAACCTCCTTTCAACTTGTTATCCTGTCTGTAACCCCAGGTATATGCAAATACAGTTGTCTATCCCTTTGTCTTCATCTGTATAACTGTCCCCCCGCCCTTCACTCTGGGTCAGTCTACTGCCTCAGACTCGCTCTGTGTCAGCTGGCTCATCGTATCCTGGGAAACCAATAAACTCACATCACTACAGCAAACTTGAATCTAAGGACTTGAGTGAATTTTCTTCAACAGTAGCTGAAAGAGAAGGTCACAGTTACATTGGATAATTGGTCCAAAAATAAAAAGAGTGTGGCCTCTCTGAGTAGTTCTGGTGAACCTGCAGAGCCTGCTGTGTATGTTGTCATTTTATTCCTGCAAGTTGGTAACCTGCAGGTATTCCTCTAGTCTAGTATTGACAGCCATCCACTGACTCACATGTGTAAACAAACAGTTTCCAAGTTGACCTGGATCTATAATTTGGTCAAAAAATCTGAGACCACTTTCCCATTCTGGTCGCAGACATTTGGACCCAATGTAGATCCCTATGCAGTTAGTCATGATGACCATTTTTGGCAGATTCAGATACAGACATTTGAGACATTTGAAATGACTCATGTGAATCATGTTTATTTAGAAAGCTGTAGGAGGTTTATGCCATTTGGCCTGATACACATCATGTTCCTAATTTCTCTTCCAGAGTTTGCACAACCCATGGGGTCACGACAGCTACATTTATGGGAAGTACACCAGATTGAGGCTATAAAGCTGAGGTTATGGCTGGCGTTCAAAGTTAGAGATACTGCAGAGGATTAATATACTGTAAGCTAATGGAAAGATAAATGTTAATTTCTTGTGAAAACAGCAGAACATTGTGTGTGTGTGTGTGTGTGTGTGTGTGTGTGTGTGTGTGTGTGTGTGTGTGTGTGTGTGTGTGTGTGTGTGTGTGTGTGTGTGAACAGTGACTGACGTCAGGAAGAAGTCGGCCTTGCTCTTGGAGTTGCTGATGAACTGGAGGTAGCAGTTTTCAGAGCACAGAGACTTCTGATACTCCTGCTCTGTCATCCCCAAAGAGCCACGCAGGCTGGCAAACACCGGACCTGCAAAGGTCTCCATTGTAAAGTCCTGCAAACACACACATACACATGCAGCTAAATTGGAGGTGTAAGCATTCAACACCATAATGTATTTATAGAGACACAGACACATGGACCTACCTTATGAATCTGAGTGACCTCTAATCTGAAATCATCGTCTGACACTTCATTCTAGAATCGAAGAAAACATGGAAACATGTCACAGGGAATAAGAAAGCCTGATTATCTATTATGGATTCATGCATTATTTGATGATATATACATATATATAAGATACATTAATCTGTTTTTAAATGAGGATGCATGACAGAAATGTGACATATGGTGATGTTTTGTCCCCCACTTTGTTTGCAAACTAAATGAATGCTTTAGAAAGCTTTACATGTGAGATATTGTGTGGAAGGGAAATGATTAGTATTCTTCTCTATGCAGACAACTGCATCTTTTACTGTCACCATCTTTACTGTAGTGGACAGCACTGGTTTATCTGCAGTTTCATGAGATGGTTTTCAGTGGCTGAGCACATGAAGTTCACATCACTATGCACAATGCCAAGTATCAGATGGAGTTGGAACAAACTACCAGTGAACTCTGGAGCATGCTCACTCATGCCTCTGAATGAATGGATGATTCTGGGTTTGGTGGATGTGACGAAGAGGAGTAATGTAGCGGGGTTGATTCTCCTGGTTTGGGTCCCTTCATTCCAATGAAGGGAAATCTGATGCTCCAGGATACAACAATCTTTCAGGCCATAGTGCTCTTCCCCTCATGGTGACAGTTCACCTTCTTCTAATGGCTCCTTCCAGCAGGATCATGCTCCACGCAACAAACGGGAGTGACAAACAGGAACCCCCCCCCCCGTCTCCAGACCTGAACCCAGTAAACACCTTTCGGATGTGGTAGAACAGGAGATTGGCAGCGTGAATGTTGAAATGCTAAGTTGAAATGAAATAGAAAGTAAAGGGTCTGAAATTATATGTTATTGCTGTTATTCTCATGTAATGTGTGTGAATTAATTAGGGATCGACCCTAAAATTCGGCATTTGGCATTTTCCAATTGTCAGTATCACTGGAGCAATGTCCCACCCATGGCACCATCTGATTGGTTAGACATCATGAGTAATGGCCTATCACGTGTACACAGACAGTCACAGACCACAGCAGCTCCAGTTAACAAGCAGCTCCGGTTAACAAGCGGAGCTGTGTGTGGAAGGTAAGACAGCAGACATCTCTGAAGATGTACTACAAATCACAATCTTCTACACTGAAGTTAGAACAACACCACAAGTTCATATGTTGATCAAAAACACACCAAGCAAGAGAGAGAGAGAGAGAAGCTAGCGCTAACTGCTAAGCTAAAGTAACTAGCTGATCTGAACAGCATGTGAACAACAGCTGAATCAGTGAAAGTTGCTAAAAGGAGCAGAGAGCTGTGGGCGCTGGAGCAGAACTAGAGTCATTTTAAATGTACAGCAGGTAGTTAGACACTGTGACGAAGAAAAGGAAGCATTATGTGTGATAAAATAGAGCAGCATTAACACTACTAGTATGAGAAACCCCTGCAACTGGAGATGAGACACCACCACCACACTGACTGTAGTACGTGAATTACTAACTACTGTTACTGAAAAGACCTTTTACTGCAGTAGAAGTAAAATCACTGTGTAAACATCTTCTCAGATAAAAGTACAAAGTAAGTCAGTTAAAATGTCTCTGAGTAAATGTGTTACATTTTAAAAGGGGAAAGGTGAAAACATCTTATTTGGTGATAATAATAATATATGATAATACTATTAAATTAAAGAGCATCTTTAGGTTACCAGGTGAATCAGTTCACAGCAACAAAATCAACCAATTAATCCCAGTCAGGCTCTTTGCAGCCTGTGCATACACATGATAACTACTAATATACACTCTGTTGTCAGTTTATTAGGAACATCCAGGTAAAACTGATGTATAGTAATACAACTGTCCTGCAGTAAATCCTCTTTCATGAGAGTTATAATGTGCAGTTTTTAATAAGTAGGTTTTAGACAGTTGTTGATTCAACTGTGAGATCATTGTGCTGGATGTATTGTGTGGAGCTGTGTGACATTATACAGAGGTGTTTCTGTTATTTAGCCTTCTTTCACTGATATAAATGGGGTGGACAACACAATAGAAACACCTGGACGCCACGTGGGTGTCCTTATACACCAGTAGATTTGTGTTGGCATATCGGTTCCCAATATCGGTTATCGGTCTCCTTGATTACGATAATCGGTATCGGCCCTGAAAAAAAACCCATATTGGTCGACCCCTAGAATTAACTTGACCTATCATATGTTATGTGATACAAAGTGAAGGGGTGAAGAATATGTCTGATGCCGCCATATGTTCTATGTACATGTGTGTGTGTGTGTGTTGTGTTTTTGGGACTCTGCATATAGAACACAACAGACAGGACCATCATGCATCAGCCTACTGAGTCAGCAGAGTGTGTTTGACTGGGATTAGTGTGAAGCAGCAGCAAACAGATGTCTGTTCGACTGTCCTGTGACTATTCATTCAGCAGCAGGGTGGACTCTGCTGTTCCCGTTCAGCTGTGGTATTCCCACAATTTCACATGACGGAGGAAAACAACTGCCGCTACTACTACCATACCACATATGGTATACCACATATAGGTTATAACAAAATCCTTCAGGACCCCGAGCCCTGGTGTCATATTTGACTCTGAACATAAACTTTACTTTTAGGCTCATGTAGGTTATGTCACCAAACCTATTTCTCATAATCTGAAAAATAGAGCAATAGTTTGTCCTTTTCTGATGCTCACTTTAACATCCAGCAGACTAAACTAGTAATCAGTTACAACTGAACTCTGCTGTCCGTGTGCTGACCACAACCAGAAGGAGAGAACATATTACACTTGCTTTTAAGTACTTCCATTAATTACCTGTCAGTTTCATTTTGAAATTAAAAACTATTAACTAGAAACTAGTCCCAATAAAGCAGTTCACAGTCTCATGGGACAAGTCTTTAGTTTATATTGGATCAGTCTGATAGCTCATAGTGTTGATATCTTTAAATGCACAGTCTGTAACTTCTGCCTCTGGTGGTCTCTCAATCAAAACAATAACAGATGATGGCATTGGGTGACGTCAGGCTATAGCGTGGGATCATAGGAGATGTTGTCTTCACCACCATCACCGTGAGCTCCTCCCGGTTCGGATTCCTACAGTGTGAGTGGTTCAGGAAATCAAACAGACCTGGTGATTCTAACCGTTAAAGTCAGAGTTTGAGCGACGCTGTACGGAGGACAGAGACTCAGGGAAGAGCTGGAGCTGAGATCGATGCTAACCTTTGTTCTGATTGTTCCTCTGAAAACTTATGAAGCAGATGTTCAGCAGGTTTTTACCAGCAGCTGAATGATCCACAGAGGTGTCCTCCTCTCCACAACAAACATTTCCTCAGCTGGTTTCTCTGATAACTTCAGATCCAGACGTCCGACGACTAAAATCCTTCATCTGGTTCAGATACAGAGCTGAAAACCACCAAGGTGGAAAAAGTGTATGTGGCTTAAAACTAGATAAAAGTCAATGTTGAGCTTCTGTCAGACAAACACACTGACACATGATCATAGAGGATATGATGTCGCTGACAGGCGACCAATGAAATGTTACCATGATTAAAATCACAGATTTCTCTGGTTTGAGAATTGATGGAAACATTTGAGATGATGTAAGAACACAACTCAACAACATATAGAACACAGGTCCAGTTGTTTTCAGACATTTTAAGTAACAGATTAGAACTTTAAGTGTAAATTTAAAACCTCTTTAGTCTGGCTTTTCATTAGAATGTTTTCAGGTTTTTATTTTCTTATTTAACCATTTATTTTATTGTATTCATATTGTAAAGTGGTTTGTTCTTCATTTTTTTATTGTCTTTTATCTGTTTCACAGTTTTTCAATCAATTTCAGCTGTTATTAGTTTATTACAATTATATTATTTAATCATTTGTATTACTTGTGTGCATCAGTGTCAAACTGCTTCACTGTTTTAGACCTGTAGTGTCTGACACAGTGTCTACAGAGCTGTGTAGTGAAAGTAGCAGCAGCTTCAGTTCTTCACACACACGACTGTCAGTAGCTCGAGCACAGCACACAATCACTGTAGTTATGATCGGCTTGTTGAGTCGTCTGTGAAGCACTTTGAATCACACCAACCTGAATAAAAGGTGACATTTTTAAACCATTCACTCTCTATTTATTTTTCAATGATAGCAATTCAATGTATTCACAATCTGTAATGACCTCTCCTCTTTAGTGGCAGAGTCAGCCTCTCCTGCACTGGTTTCAAATTACACATGAAGACTGATTGCATATAAAGCGGCAGGAAATCCAACTGTTACAGCAGGTAATTTGATCTGATTGATTTTAGCACCATACACCATCTCAGAGCCCATGAAGTTACTGAATGGTCTGGTTGCACCATTATCCCTCTGCTACAGGGGAGAAAAACGCTCGGGCTTGTTTGCATTTCTTTAAACCAATCACAGTCGTCGTGGGCGGAGCTGAGTCCGGGATGCAGCGTTGGTGCTCCTGCAAAATAGATTCGTAGGGGAACTTGTTGTGGTTGAACCAATATTTGCAGGTGAGGAGGTGAGCATGTTGTTGTTTCTGTGTAGTGAAGGGGAGTTTGAACGGTAACAGGCAGGTGAAAGAGAGGCGCCTAATGGTAGGATTAACAGAGTGCTGTAACCCTAACCCTGTGTGTGTGTGTGTGTGTGTGTGTGTGTGCGTGTGTGCGTGCGTGCGTGCGTGCGTGCGTGCGTGCGTGCGTATCAGCAGGACAAACTGCAGTAACTAACTTCCACCATGCACTTGCCTCTTTAACATCACATGGTATCTTTGCCTCACAGTTTGAAACACTGTGGTGTCACAAGCCAGACAACTGTCCTGGGGCCCCAGACACCCAGGGGCCCTGGTCAAAACACCTGCTGCTATTGTTTTCTTTATGAGCTGACACGTCAGTGGCGTCTTGACACATACCATTGCGTCAGCGGGTTCATCATATTCACATTCAAATGACACAACATTCACAAAGGTTTGTCAGTGGGTGTCTGATTTGTAGCTTCATTTTTAACAGTGCAAATCAAATAAAGTTATTGTTGATACGAAAAAAAAGCTCTGATGACAAAAACAAATTATAAGGCTGATGTTATAACTACAGCTGTAGAGAGAGGGCCTGTATCACCATGTTAACCTCTTGTTTGATTTTATCTTGCTTTGTTCTCTTCAGTGGAGCAGGCTACAACTTGAAGCCTTTTTATTCATTGTAAGAATTCAGTTTGGCTTTATTTACTTTACTAGTGTTTAATGTATATGTGAATACACTGTTATGGCACAGTTGCAGCACTGTCTGTGATCTTTAATTTGAATACTAAGTGAGAAGCCTTTAAACATCATGTATGTGTAGATGGTTGAAATGTTGCCTCAGCTGGTTCGTACTCACTATGGGTGCGTTGTCTATGGTGCTTTGGATGGCTGCTGCCAGTCCCTCCTTCATCATGCAGGTCAGGCCGTAGAACTCGTGCTGCTGGTCGATCTCAAACAAGCCCAGAAGTTTCCATTGCTGCCTCAGACCTCCCCATCTCCTCCTCTTCACCGAGCGTTGGTGGTGGCCAGACATCCTCCCCACGCCGCCCGCAGCCGCCGACGTCTCCATCTACACTGAAACACAAATCTGCAACATTTGAGAGAGGAGGTTTTTAAAGCTGCAGCTAAGAGAAATCAAAGAGTAGGTAGAGGCCAGAGAGGCCAGTGACAAACACAAAAGACAGCTGACTATCAGCTGAGTCTTTAACAGCGTAACTATGGAGACCAACACAAAGGGATAATAGCTTCACCGGCTCTGCTGCGGTTAATGGCATAAAGCTGGTCCTCCAGCCACCACATCTCTGCATTAAAACACTTTTTAAATGTTCAATTGTGTCCACATGTGTTAGAATGAAAGACAGCACAAGCACAAAAATGTCCCATTAAGTAATGTAGGAGCATAAGGCAGAAAATAAACAGGAAGTGAAGACTAACAGGCAGAAGAGCAATGGTGGAAATATAGCATGTCACTGAGCTTAATAACACCACAGACTCTCACTGTGGAAGCTGTTTGTACAGTCTGACCATTTTTACACAAGCACATGAGGATCATTTTCAAAGGTTGGAGATGATGATTTTCTATATTTTCCTTACTGAAAACAAATCCCATGAAAAGACCAAAAGTAAAATTAATGTAACTAACACATGTTGTTGTGTACGTATGAGCCACACTGTTGTCACCATAAACACACACTGTAGTTTATTTAGACTCAACCACACACACATCGTCCTGCTGCCACAAGAACTCACTACAACACTAACTGTGGATTAATCCACGACTGAAAATAGTTCCCAAAAAATGCACTATTTCCTCCTGTTTGAGTAACGTTTGAGATCTTTCTTAAACATTATTTTTTTTATCTTTTTTTTTTCTTACCATTTATAAGATTCATATCTTTACTTGCAACAGATATGTTCTAATCTAGGTGAACTGATCCTTTAACCCTATGGTTATCAAGTGAAAGCAAAATTCAGTGGCTGATTTTTGAATGCGAATAAAGGGGGATGTAATTCTGACCTTTTTCTGTGCATTAAGATCAGTTCCTGTTATATTGAAAGGTGGAAAAAATTCACATTTTAAGTCTTATTTGATGCACTGTCTGTCCAAGTTATATATATCTGTTATGTTTTCTGCAATGTGTACAACCACAGACTACAAGCAGACAGGTCCAGGTCTGTAGTCCCTGTCCTACTTGTTCAGCTGCCATTGCAATTACATGACAACATTAACCCCTTTTGTAAGTTAGCTGTCTTTGCTATGAGCTAGTTCCATAGCAACAAGCATGATGCAAAGCTCCTAGCTCCTTTTGTGCTCCTCTCTGCTATTAGCGACGCTCACAGCTTCACTTTACATTTGACTGTGACATAAAAGCTTCCTGTCTGATCACAACCTCATGTGTTTGATGATCTGCCTCAGTCTTCAAGTTGCTGGGCTTTGAACACATCACATCTTAAAGAGCATAGTTCAAACAAGCACAGGGTGTTACAGTACAATAATTACAATATTTAAACATGATTTAAAGAGGAAATGTCAAATGTTGGAGAATATTAGAGCCATTATGTTGTGGATACTGCCTTGTAATATATCATCACATGCCTGTGTCCAATGAAATGAGGAGATGAAGCAGGTGCGTCTGGAGCAGTCCTTTCGGGAAGCAAAGTTGTGCACTACACTCTAACTGTGAGGTTAAATTACTTTTGTGCTGGCCGGATCACAACAGTGGGGCCAACCCTATAATCTGTAACGACAGATGATGATGATGATGATATTGATGATGTTTCCACTACCGGTCAGCCAAGTGCCTCGTGATTGAGTTGGAGTTTCTGGTGGAAACAGTGCAAACAAACCATGTATGGATGCCGAACTGGGGCTCAGGGCTACACCTCTTGTTACGGGCAGTATACTGAGCCGCTCTGGTTTCCCGACCCATTACAGCAAATTAACTACTTTCATTACATATATCATTATTACTAAAGGTGTCAGAGGAATAACTAAACATAAGGCACACAGAGCAGAGAGAGCAGGAGAGAGGGAGGGAGAGAAAGAAGTAATCGGTAACTGCTAAAGAAACTAGCAGCTCTGGATAACATGTAAACAACAGAAACGCCAGCAACAGGAAATGAGGCAATACAGTTACTGCAGCACAACAATAAAAGCCCTGTTAAGAAATAAAGGGTTTCTGCCCACTAAAATGCCAGAGGGCTTTTAATTTGAAATGAGGAACAACAGGAAATGTTTAGATTGTATTAACATGCAATGCAGTAGCTTTAATACAACAGATGGGAGCGAATGAAAACGATGCTTCATTACGCTATGACCAACTCTACAAATCAAACAAAAGGAGTTAGTCATAAAGACCAGATGTGTTGACTTGTGTTGACAAGCTTTAATTGGGATTGGTTGGACCTATTTGTGGTTGATGCTTGTTTATCATGGATATATTATCAGGGACCCCCAAGCTCCCAAACCAAACAATGGGGTGAAATTTCCCAAGAAAATTAAGGCTCAATTTATGGCACAAAGGAAGTGTGTCCTTCCATGTCATTGCGGAACCAAAACAGGAGCAGCATAGCGCTTTTGTTTTCCCTGGTAGCTATCGCTAGCTTTTCCCAGGTAGCAGAAATGGCAATGGAACAACCAGAGCAATTGTTTGAACTCTACCCAGCAAATTAAAAAGAGGAGGACGCAAAGAAGGTGAGGAGGGACAGAAAACAAAGTAAAACCTCAGACGAGCATTCACTTGAATGGGAGAGCTCGAGGACTTGAGAAGGTTCGAAAAGAATTTCTACTGGATCAGTAAGTAGCAAGACCTTCCCAGTAATTAATACAACCAGGTTTACCCTGCATTCATCACAGTACTGAGGTTTGTAGTTTAATTAAATTGGGAACCCTAACCACCGCCACTACCTACTTGTACGAATACTACTTTACCTGAGTGTTTCCAATACGGCCAACTTTATACCTATGCCTCACAAAAATTCAGAGGGACATATTGTACTTTTTGCTCCACTATATTTATCTAACAGCCTTAGCTACTAGGTTTGTGTGTCCCTGTGATCCTGGGAGCTGTGTTGCTCAGAGCAATAGCCCCTGGTAGGGTCTCCCAAGGCAAATTGATCCCATGGGAGGGGCCAGACCAAGAGTGATTGACAAGACCCTACTGACTTGGCAGAGACAGAGCTGCGGTACCTCACACAGAAGAGGGAAACCCAGGGGAAGTGGAGCGACTAGATATAGTTGGCCTCACCTCTACATATAGCACAGGTCCTGGAACAGCTAGATTGGCTGGACTCCTTTTCCAGAGTTACCCAGGGTGACGGAGGCTGGACGGGTGTGGCTGCGATGGAGTTCTTCCCGCAGAATAAGAAGCTCACTTCGATGCAACTGTCACTGAGGGGAAAAGTCACTGAGGGGAAGGATTGCGGAGGATTGCTTCGCTGAGGATTGCTCCCTCTGGGTGGGGTTGAGTTGCTTCCCCAAGCGAAGTAGTTTAGTCTCAGTGCACTGCTAAACTTTTTAAAGGGGTCAAAGTGACTAAAGCTGAAGGCTCAGATAGAGTACATAATAGGACATTAAGTTACTGTCCCGATAAAGTGAGGTCCTGCCTAAAGTTTTCAATGGCTTGCAGCCTGCAGCGTTAACTTCACTAAACTCTAAAGAACACTGTTCAGTCAGAACCTGTGAATGTAACTAGACCAGTTCTTAATCCCCAGTTTGTGTGTAAGTCATGTATAAACTCTGTACTAACACATGAACACTGCACACACGCACTGATACAAAGTCAGCATTTAATATGATGCACCCACACATACTGGTAAAATAGCTCATATCCTTCTTCCATTGAGATCATGAAGTCATCAGATGGATGATCAGTTTCCTCACTGTCAGAGACTTATAGATTCAGAATCAGTTTGTTCTTCCCCTGACTCACTCCTTTATCTTTTATCTCGTACACAGAGGATGTCATAGAGAATATAAAAATCATCATATTGCAAAGTTTTCTGACGAGAATGTTATTACGTCTCTCCTCAGTCAGAACCCTAACCCATCACATAAGACGTTTTTGCCTTTTACTTGTAATAGCACAGTGAGATAGAGAGAGAGAGGAAAGCCAGGGAGAGAGAGGGGATGACATGCAGCAAAGGGTCACGGGTCGGACTCAAACCCACGGCCGCTGTGGTTAGGACTAAGCCCGTCATCAGTGACCGATACATGATGATCTATTTAAATGCTATGATCATCCCCCACCTGACATACTGTATGACAAGCTGGACCCAAGTGAATAGCTCAATACTGAAACCAATTCATTCTATTTACAAACAAGCCCTTAAAGTCTTAGACAGAAAACACAAATTATACCATCATTGTAACATCCTTGAAAAGTATAGCTCACTTAGCTGGGATAATATGCTAAAATATGCTGATGCTTGTCTGCTCTTTAAGATTCTGAATGGCAAGGCTCCCCCACCACTCTGTACATTCATACAAAAGAAAACATCTAATAATAGAACCACAAGATCGGCTTTAAGAGGTGACTGTGTAGTCCCTCATAGGTCGACTACTTTTGGTCAGTTATGTTTCTCTGTGAGAGCCTCTAAGTTATGGAACACATTGCCAGCAGAGCTAAGAAATTGCACTTCCTATTTTAAATTTAGCCACGATGTTAAGGACTGGCTCTTAAGCGGTCAGACATGTGAACACTCTTAAATGGTATTATGCTAACTTGTTGTTGTTTGATATATGTTGTATCTATTTTATGTATCTTTTTAATATGTGTTATGTATTAATCTGACTGATGAACATCTGGTCAATATGTGGTTTTTAGACATCCTGCCAGAGGACTGCAGTTGAAAATTAGCCTGTTGGCTAACACTGGCACATTTACAGAAAGGTTAATTAATGTGCACTGTCCTTTTCAAATAAATAAATAAATGAAAAATGAAATGATGCCCTCTGTAGAGTGGAACCAGTCCTCCAACCTGAACAACCACACAGGTCGTTGAGCACCCCTATGGTGGCAGACGTACTGGACCT